ACTGATCATTTTGGTGTTGTATACATATTAACTAAAACTTACAGGAATTCTTGGCTCTGCAACACCTTTCACAACTCCTATGCCAATGCTCTTAAGAAACTCTCGTACATGACCAACAGCGACTAGAATGAGGTACCCAATGTATGTAGATACGGCAGCGGGCATGGGAGTTTCTTCAAAAGATTCAAAGAAATCCTTCTCCCATGTCATGTTACTTTCTTCAACAGCTTGTTTTGTTTTCATGTGGCATCCATTTGAAAATTTCCCACCATTTTGCACTCCATTCAGAGTCTTACTTTGGCCACGAAAACCATTTTCACTTGGCATATATATAGTTTCCACCATAGTCATTTCTCTTTGTTATAAATGAAACTTAATTCTCATCTAAAAAAATAAAGCATTTCTTAATACTACCTGGTAACTTAAAAAAAATGCAATCAATATCTAAATGAAACATCTCTAGAAATAAAATACAGGTTGTTGTGTGGATTGGAAAATCTAAAGTATTTCATAGTTTTGTAAATGTAGTATGCTGCAAACACAAAATGTTCTGCATTCACTTAAAAACAATCTTTCCCTGTCTTATAAGCCGCAGGCTGTCGCCACAGGTGCCCCTTAAACTGTCAGCTGTTTTAGATTAGACTGTATAGCCAGAAAATAAATTGTTATCTTGAGGAAATTAATGGTCATTATAATTGCTTACAACTCGATAATCTGCGTGTTGTAAGTTTGACACGACCAGGAATCGTGAACAGTATAAGAATGGGGCGTTAACCAACGATCGGACAGGTAACTGTGACACTCTGCAACCAAATATCGTCCAAAAATTAGAGATGTCAAGCCGTCTAAAATGACCTTAACAAAACATAAATTTCCCGATTCAAAATCTTATCATTTTGTTTTCTTAGAAAAATCCGTGTCCATTGATAGAGTGCCAAACATAACTTTTTTAATGACAAGGTCTTAACATTTGCTTAAAATCATTATTACAAGCATCCAGATTGTCAAAACAGTTTTCCACAATTATAATAACAACCTGCCCCCGGCAATATGACCTTACCTCGATCAACAATTGACAATGACAATCCCACATCCTACAACTGTATGATTGTTGTAAGATGCTTACACGTTTACGTAAATTAACATACGCCTATGAAATGGTGGGTAGGGTGTTTAAAAAAAAAATCTTACCAGTGATTCCTCATTTCTCAAGGGGGTTTGGATGAGTGTAACTATAACAAGTAGTGTTGTTTATAAATCCTGATATTTGCAACACGTATCACACATGTTCACAAGTACGAGATAAAGCTTCTCTTACCACTGGGTTCAACCAATCGTCTGACTAAGCTGGCAGGGAGTAATCGTGCGACTGTGCGCGGTACATAGAGATTATATAAGGTAACAAAGCTCCCTCTCCTTTCACATCAATCGAATGTACATCACCGGTACAGTACAAAGTCAATGAATAACAAAAACTCAATTCGATTTATATTCGATTACATGTTTTTCTTTTTAACTTAACCCTTCTCCCTTTTAAAAATCAGAATTAAAGCTTTAAAAAATTGTAAAAGGTAAACAATTGAAAAACGTCAAGTTATGATCCTTCCAGGGAATTTTTAAAATCATTATTTGATGGGCAATCGCATAAATATGTTATTTATGTGTTTGATTAGGCCTAATGAAACCATTTTTTAACAAGAGGCCCAAGGGCCTTAACGGTCACCTGAGTACAATACAACAATTTAGAGGATCCATAGAGTATTAAAATGAAATGAAAGGTGAAGCTTTGTTGCCCAAAAGCATGAAAAATAGGGAGATCAGGATCAACAAAATAATTAGTCTACTATTCATTAACAGTTCATAAATTAGGTTCTAATCTGTTCCCCATTTATCACTATCACCATACAGTATATTAACAAACTATCAGTGCTTTTGTACTATTTTAATTCTTTGTTGACAGTTGCTATCTCTTACATTGGCCTCTCTTGGTCTTTGATGAACATTTAATAAGACAAGTTATTTTTGTCTCATTTTTATTTATCTATTACTTACAAGTCCACATGATCATTAAAACTATGAAAATACTTTTTGCATTATACAATAAAAATTCTTGCATAATTCTCTTATTCTATTAATTTTTCAAGTACATTATTTACAGTGATTAATTATCAAAAGTAAACAGCAAAGGGGAATAACTCCTCTCAGTAGAATGCAAATTAATTGAGCCCTGGCTAGGACCAGAACACTTGACCAAATGGTCCAGATGTTCAAAAATCTGGTAAAAATACCCTTCCTTATTACAACTTTTACACTTTTTGCCTCTGATATGCCCAAGTGCAGAGAAGATTTTTAAAGAAATAATGCATTTTCACTACAGATTCACTATATTATCAATAGACCCCTCCCCCCCCCCCCCTTCACCACCGAGAAACACCAGAGCCTCTCACCCTGGGACCAGAAGTTTCAAGTTTGCTCATCATAAGTAATCACTTTGTTTAACTGCTTAACATTAAGGAGCAGACAGGATTATTTAATAGAATTAATGCATTTTCACTACATTATCAACAGCCCCACCCTTATACCAGCACATCTGACCCAGGGGTCATGCAATTCACTACTCCGGAAGAAGCACACTTGCTCATCATAACTATATACTTAGCTTCTTTGCTTTTTAACAAGAAGCAGAAAAGAATATTTTCAAAGAAATTTTGATTTTTCACTATATAATCAATAGAGCCCCCCCCCCCCTTTTGACCAGAACCCTTGACCCTGGGGCCATGAAATTCACAATTTTAGAAGAGGCATCCTTGCATATCATAACAATGTACTTAGTTTGTTTCAATAGTACCCAGGGGCAGAGAAGAGAATTTTCAAAGAAATTATTCACCTTCACTGTAGGAGCTATATAGCCCCACCCTAGCACCAGAACCCCTGTCCCTGGGGCCATGAATTTCACAATTTTGGAAGAGGTGTCCTTGCTTATCATAACAATGTACTTAGTTTGTTTAAATAATACCCAGAAGCAGAGAAGAAGATTTTTAAAGCATTAATGCATTTTCACTATATAATCAATAGAGCCCTGCCCTAACATCAGAACCCCTGACCCAGGGGCCATGAAATTCACAATTTTGGTAGAGTCGCTCTTGCTTATCATAACTATGTATCTAATTTGTTTAAATAATAACCAGGAGTAGAGAAAAAGATTTTCAAAGAAATAATGTACTTTCACTATATGATCTATATAGCCCCACCCTAGCACCAGAACCCCTGACCCAGGGGCCATGAATTTCACAATTTTGGTAGAGTCACTCTTGCTTTTCATAACTATGTATTCAATTTGTTTCAATAATACCAAGGAGTAGAGAAGAAGATTTTTAAAGAAATAATGCACTTTCACTATATGATCTATATACCCCCCCCCCCCAGCACCAGAACCCCTGACCCTGGGGCCATGAATTTCACAATTTTGGTAGAGTCACCCTTGCTGATCATAACTCTGTATCTAATTTGTTTAAATAATACCCAGGAGTAGAGAAGAAGATTTTTAAAGAAATAATGCACTTTCACTATATGATCTATATACCCCCCCCCCCCCCCCCCAGCACCAGAACCCCTGACCCCGGGGCCATGAATTTCACAATTTTGGTAGAGTCACTCTTGCTTATCATAACTATGTATTCAATTTGTTTCAATAATACCAAGGAGTAGAGAAGAAGATTTTTAAAGAAATAATGCACTTTCACTATATGATCTATATACCCCCCCCCCCCCCCCTAGCACCAGAACCCCTGACCCCGGGGCCATGAATTTCACAATTTTGGTAGAATCACCCTTGCTGATCATAACTCTGTATCTAATTTGTTTAAATAATACCCAGGAGTAGAGAAGATTTTCAAAGAAATAATGCACTTTCATTATACGATCTATATAGCCCCACCCTAGCACCAGAACCCCTGACCCAGGGGCCATGAATTTCACAATTTTGGTAGAGTCACTCTTGCTTATCATAACTATGTATTCAATTTGTTTCAATAATACCAAGGAGTAGAGAAGAAGATTTTTAAAGAAATAATGCACTTTCACTATATGATCTATATACCCCCCCCCCCCCCCCAGCACCAGAACCCCTGACCCCGGGGCCATGAATTTCACAATTTTGGTAGAGTCACCATTGCTGATCATAACTCTGTATCTAATTTGTTTAAATAATACCCAGCAGTAGAGAAGAAGATTTTCAAAGAAATAATGCACTTTCACTATACGATCTATATAGCCCCACCCTAGCACCAGAACCCCTGACCCAGGGGCCATGAATTTCACAATTTTGGTAGAGTCACCCTTGCTTATCATAACTATGTATTCAATTTGTTTCAATAATACCCAGGAGTAGAGAAGAAGATTTTCAAAGAAATAATGCACTTTCACTATATGATCTATATAGCCCCGCCCTAGCACCAGAACCCCTGACCCTGGGGCCATGAATTTCACAATTTAGGTAGACGGCTCAATGCTTATTACAATCATTTCATCAGTTTGACTGCTTGATGTCCAGGAGTAAAGAAGAAGATTTTTAAAGATTGCATTAATTTTGATGGTTTTAGCCCCACCCCTCAGGCCCCAGGGGGGCAGGGACCATGAAATTCACAAATTTTGTTCCCCTTCACACATAGATGCCATATGCAAAAATTGGCTGAAATTGGTTCAGCGGTTTCAGAGAAGAAGCTGAAAATGTTCAAATGTTAACACACGACGCACGACGGACGACGACGGACGAAAACAGATAGCAATAGGTCACCTGAGTGACTCAGGTGACCTAAAAATCTAATTATTTTTATTTTAAAAATTCTATTTTGACATTTAAAAATTTAGAAAGGAAAAAAATCAAACTTTTCCTATACTTTGTATGGGAGAGGGTCAATTTATTTATTCATTCAACAGACATGTTTAGCACTCAACCATATTTATAAATCACTCATCAGGCCCGTAGGAAGGAATTTCAGTTGAATGTCTGGTGGTGATGGTGGGGTAGAAGGCGCAAAACCGAACATTTTCAGTGTGTGGGGGGGGGGGGGGGGGGGGGGGGGGGGGGTATACCAATCCTTGACGTTTTCTATAAGATAAAAGATTTATTGATACCAATTTGGGACCCCTCAGGGCATACATTATACACATAAGAAGAAATTCAAAATTGGTGGCAGCAACAAAGAAACTATTATAAGTAAAGAAGACGATGATGATTATAGCAGTTTTCTATAGTATACTATATATTAACACCCCCCCCCCTTTCCCGTTTCCTATGGCCATGCACATGATAAGAAGTATTAAACTTTTACATTGATAAAGTAGAACCACTTGAATAACTCAACAGATAAAATAAACTTAATAAAAAACTAGAGGTACTGTGAGCTCTGACCTCACAAAATGATACCCCCTCCCCCCCCAATAAAAGTATAGTGACAGAGTCCATTTTTTTTAATATGAAAAAAACCCCCCAAGTATCTGTCCATCAGAGCATTAAGTAGGAGCTGCTCAGTAGTACTATATATTAAAGATTCTGTGAAGGTCTCATAAAATTTTACTCAGTATTATAGGAGGAGTTGTGGATAAGAAATGGGTACCCCCAATGTTATAGAATGGTAGTGTCCAGGTTTTGTTATGGGAAACCTAAAATATCTGTATGCTCAAAATGTTAAACACGAGGTATACAATGGCACTATGTAATAAAGATTCTATGAAAGTCTTGTTAAATCTTATTCAGTAATATAAGAGTTGTTGAAAAGAGATGGGTACCTCCGAGTGTCAGAGACATACACCCTTATCACTGAATACCTATATATATATGTATATAAAAATTTTAAAAATTCAAATTTTAAACAGGTTTATGAAGCCCAATGCTCACAATGCATCTTGCACATAATGAAAATTACACTGCTTATAACCCAAACCTCAATGCTACAGACTGAAACAGTTACATTTTAAGAAATGAACAATCCGTAAATAATTTTGAATTACTTACATATAAATATGGGGAAAAGACAGTCCAATTGTTTTCAAGATAAACATATAATAATGATATCAATTTTATTTTTTATTTACAGATATAGAAGACTTAGACATGTCCAACTAAAACAAAGTCAAAAATAGTAAAAAAAAGATTTATTCTTCTTAACATAAAAACATGATATTTTGGATTTCAACATATTAATTTTACACACAATCACTGTTTCTTATCTTAAAATTTACATCTGTTCAACATATATTATTTTTCAAACCCGTCTCTTCTCAAATGACAATAAGAATCTTATTGCCCCATGGAGAGTCATAGACAAGCAAGTGGCCATTGCTTTGGCTCAGGTGAGCTGAATATAGATTTGGTGGTCACAATGGTTGCAAAAGGCTCATGGGACACACCTCTCACCCAAATTCCTTTTACACTTTGGGCCCCATTTGTGGTCTCAGACTAAAGATAATTATGTACTGGATAAGAAAAATATCCCATAAGGCTGTCTCTTCTGGCCCAAAAAACCCAATGATATTCAAATGCTCATCATATATTACTTCATTTTTAATGTTCCTTAATAGGGAAGAAAGGTCTGTTTTTTGAGCCAACCTGAATCCCATTTACAGATGGACACAGACATCAGACAATCTTCAAACAGTACATAAAAGTTCACTTAAATTAAGCCTTGAGATAAAAATACAAAAAGAAAAGCTATAATGTCACACACAAACAAAAATAATAATTGTAAAAAATAAACGTACAAAAGTATCACTGTTACAAATTAGCAAAAAGTGACTAAATAGCAGTTGATAAATACATATATATCAAAATGGCACATATGCTGGTAAACCATAAGTAAACTGTGAATAAAATCTGCACTCTTGGAGACTGAGAAAAAAATGCTAGTAAGTAAACTAAATAAAGACTGAATGTTGCAGGACATATCCTACAGACATGTACAATTGGAAATAAATCACTGGGTAACCTTTCATCAATTTTGAAGACATTCTAAGTTAAAGAAAAGTCAAATCCCCCCTTACTTCCCTCTTGTTAAATTGCATTACTGAACCCAACAATGGTCAAAAATTTCAGTACATGTATTTATAAACACTTATAAGTCTTAGAATCGTAAAAAAGTTTAATTAACTTTGCAGTAATTTGTCTCTCCTAACTTTCACAAAAAAAGGTGTTTTTTCACTTTTGAAAATTATTATGCATATATGATATTATACACAATAAATACTGTCTACAACGTAAAATTTGCTTACAGTAATTAATTTTCATGTTTTTCTATACCCCCCAAAAAAATCATTTTATTTATTTATTTTTTTCATTTGACTTGTCCGTTTTTCTATTGATTTACTGTGTATGTTAATGTCACTGGGTTAGTTTCATTTATCTTGAGGCAAAAACACTGAAAAACAAAACTGCAGCAAAAATACAAATTTGTACAGTGTGAGATGCATTTAACAGCACAAATAAAATTATTTGTCTTTAACAATCAAAACAAAAAACAAAAAAAAAAAAAAAACAGAAAACTGGGAGAGGTATAGTACTTGGTGAGCAAATGCAATTCTGCTTTGGTAGTTTATGCATTAGTATAAAAATATGTAAAAACCCACAAACTCCTATAACCTTAATGTTGTCAGTGGTCAAATAAACAAAGAGAAAAAAAATATGAACTTATAGAGGGATAGTTAGAACTACCTTAATAGCTGTGGACTTATGAACAATGAAAATAAATAAGGGTGAAATGTGATAAAGGTTTCTAACCATAGTATGAAATAAATATAAATAGCATGTATGTGTCCAAAAATAACCACTTAAATACTTAAAATGTAATGGCAGCAACATCCACTCATTTTTATTCATGTGGGCTTTGTAGATCTCCAATGAAACATACCTAGGTTTTGATTATAATAACTATGATATGTGTTAATCAAATAAAGTAACATCAAATATGAACAATGGAATGACTTGCATCTATGAGTCTATTGCTAAATGTTGTTCATGCATATAAAAGTAATAAACCATAGCACAACCATGAATATAGTAACATTGTGAAAGTACAAACCAACAAGTGTTATAGTTAAATTAATACATTCTTGTAGTGGATATCGCCCATTGAATAAAACAGACCTTACACACCAGGGTCATGCTTTACACCATGGGGTCATGCTTTATACCACAGGGTCAAGCTTTTTTCAACATATTATTTGTTCATGCACTGATAGCAATGTCATAGAAGAAATACACTTAAGATGGCATAAAATGAAAAAAAAAGTCATAAACTCATAAATAATGTCATTAAAATAATAGAAAAAAAAAGAAAATTATGTACAAGAAAAATAAAGCATTAATATATAGTGTGATTTTGTATTAGCATTGTCCAACTAATTTAATGTGAATATATTTGTGAGCCTTTCTTAATAAAATAAATAACAATTTATGTATTCAAAAATATGTTTTATAATTTGTGTGTAAGAATCATCTAGTATGCTAAGTTTAATTTCCAACAATTTTCAGCAACACATACATGTATCTCAACAGAATTCATTCAATATTCAATTATAACCTGCTTTACAATCTTTAAATCTAAATCTACAAAACCCTTGTACACAGTAAGAAATTATATATGATTTGTGATATAAACAGCATCAACTATGCAAAGCCTGCCATTTTAAATATACAGTATCAATAGAAAACTCTTAATAAAAATATACACATGAACAGCACTAATAACTCCAGCATGAAACAAACATTCAGCCAACTTTGACTTGAACGTGTTGGATAATGACAAAATGAATTCAGTTTATAAAGAAAATATAGATGTATGCCATGCATTGCCAGCATCTCTCTCTCTCTCTCTCTAGTCATGTGGCTTGTGAAGCCACTGGTGCATGCTGTCATTGGAAGGAACAGATGTCATAACACTATCATGTAAGACAACATTTGTTGAGGAATGGATGGACTTTGCGATCATGCTTTAAGGAATCCCACTGATCATCCATACACTTTACACCTACTCACTAGAAGAAAAGAAAAGTGTACAGGTATTAGGACTGTTATTATAAAACTTTCTTGAATTCTGCAAGGTAAAACAGTATTAAAACCAAGATGATGATGAGCAAAAAGAAAAAGCTGAATGGCAAAGTTAAGTCCTTGCAATATAAATTTTAAAAATAACTCAAAAATTGGAAATGATATAACACTGTATCAAGGATTATACCTGTGAGATCTGGTACCATTTTTGGGCTCTTTCTCTTCACTTTCTGTTACAGCTTTCTGTGGTTTTAATCTTGAATATTTCAACTTTAATAAATCTCCTACTTCATCCAGAATATTTAAAGCCTGAAAATATTAAGTGTGAAAAAGATAACGGTAAATTACAGTTTGGGAATAACACTTGAAATTACTTGCAGACTGTTTTATACTGACAACTCAGAATTTTTAATTGTATAGCATATTTAAGTATCAATAACTAGAAATATGTCTATAGGACATGAATGCACCTCCCAGGGTTTATTAGTAATGCAACATGGAAAAAAAATGTACCTTGCCTCTTTGTTTAAGATTTGGGTAAATGAGAAATAGAGAGGTCTAGGTCACAGGGAAGTTTGTTTCAGAAAATTTGACAAAGTTAAATAGCTCTCACAATTTGTTTTAATATATGAAGTTTGATGAAAATATCTTGAAGAGTTTCTTTGAAACTGACTTTTATACACAACAAATAGTAAGGTCAAAGGGAATGTCGAGGTAAAAAAAAATTTGGACACAATTGACAAGATCTCACCAATATATATCAGTATATGTGTTTAGATAAAAAAATCTTTTGAATAGTTCCAACACAAACTTAAGAAAAATAACATCAAAAACATACAGAAGGTCAAGTTAAAAAAAATTGATGCAATTCATAGCTCCAAACCAATATGTATCAGCATACAAAGTTTGATAAATATATCTGCCAGGAATACTAGTAGTTTCTTTGAAACTGAGCTATATGCAAATTTCAGAAAATTGAGGTCAAGGTCAAAGGAAAGGTCAAAATCAAAATATTGATGCAGTTGAATAAATCTCATCATTATGTATTAGCATATGAAGTTTGATAAAAATATCTTGAGTAGTTTCTTTGGAACTGAGCTAAACACAAATTTCAGAAAAGTGAGGTTAAGGTCAAAGGAAAGGCAAGGTCTAATTTGTTGATGTTGAATAACTCTCACCAATACGTATCAGCATATCTGAACAAGAACTAGGACAATAAAAATGCAAAGGTAACTTAACTCCCTTTGCCCACATATCTTATATTCAATTCATAACAAATTCTGGTACATAAGTTTTTTTTGGGAAGAAAAAAAAGCAAATACCAGGTAATCATAGCTCATTATTACATACAAAATCTTAAAGATAGAAGAATATTCTTTCTTTTATCCAGGGCAATATTATAGTAATTTGGCCATTACATTCTACATACACTGTACATGTATTATTTTTTAAAATTCTGTATCATTTCAGTAGAAACAATGAAAGAGTTACATGCAATGTTGCTGAAGAACAAATGAAAACAGAGGGCAGAAATATTACAGCATGACTTGACAAAGCTCATGTACTAAGCATTTTATGTCATCCCTAAGATTTCTGAGTAAAGGCCAGTTGGAAGAGTTGGAACTAATTCTATGTACCATACATCAATAAGTATACTATTAACTATATTTCTCTTTTCAAAAAAAAAAAATAAATAAATAAAAATTGAAGACCTTAATAAAATCATAAAAGTAATGATTAAGCAGGCATACCTTGTCTAACATTTCCTTTGTGTGGGCTGCAGACAGGCAGAATCTTGCCCTGGACTCAATAATGGGGGTTGCTGGAAACCCTACCACCACGATTCCCAATCCCCTCTGCAAACACTCTCTACTAAGGCAACTTAAATAAAATACATAAGTAAGAGAGTGAAAGAAGGATTATCTGTATATATACAAAATTAAAATTTTGAGGGTAAACATGGTATCTTAAATTAATTGAATAAATGTAAATATTTACATTTCCAATGTCTTTGTCCGAGATAAAATTACAAATTGTAAAAATACTTTATTTCTACATAAATCTACTGGTTCATCGATAGGCGCGGTTAAAAAAAAACTTGTGCGGGGCGGGACAAATAGAGACAGAAGCAGGGCTATTAGCACGGGAATTTGCAGAATCAGGAGCATGTAAATATAAGGAATAACTGTCAGATTTTTTGGATTCATGACGATGATCAATCGATTGGCTTGCGTGATAATTTTATGCATAAACGCCTTCGGTGTTTATGCAAATTATCACGCAAGCCACTCGATTGATCACATCATGAATCCAAAAAATTAGACAGTTATTCCTTAATTAAAATCAGTAAGCATTTACTCCTGCCCTGGTGTTAGAAATTAGCTCATCATTCAGAATCATCTTGTAAATTAATCTGATTCTCATGAGAAAAGTTTACATTGTTTGTTTTTTTTATTTTAATTTTAATTTTTTTTTTTTTTTGAACTGCTAGAGATAAGTTTAACATGTGCAAAAGAAAACAGTACAATGTTTACCTAATTTTCCCAGGCATAAATAACAGAGTTGGAACAACTGGTGAGTGATCATTTCCATACACAATAAATCCCATCTCTCTCATTCTTGTTCTGAAGTAGGTGGTGTTCCATGCCAAGGTGTCTATTCTTTTCTTCCCTGAAATAACAAGGTACTGATCTAAATAAAAAATATCATAAATATTCCAGGAAGTAATTGAAAGTTTCACTACAAGGCAGATTAATTTGCCCTTATACCAAATTAATCTCATTTAATTGACGGAAGCACATTACAATGTTGTTAAAACTAATAGTGGAACGAATTGGTTATAATCCAAAAGGCAAAAGACTCGTATTGGTACGAGTTGATTAATTGATGGCACTTCCTTTTCCCGCCATCCAGCAACAGGGTGAGGCAGGAGATCCACATCAAAATTATTACATCTCGGGTGAGTGTGACATTTTGCTCCCCACAGTAGATGCCTTAACACACCATACAAACAATAGTGAATTCGGTGGCCCCCCATTTAGCATTGCGGATTACCAACCTGCTCAAACCCCCAGTTCTTTAGATCCCATTAGCGCCCATGTTCCACTAAAAATTAAACAAAAAATTTGGGAGGGAAAATTTGTCGATCTATCCATACTTCTAAAATCGGCGCGGGAAATCTCAGATCACTTAGATACACAAGGCCAAATACAAATACGCAACGGCACAATGTGCCTTGTGAAGCATAAACCCCGCACCTTTTTGTCAATTGAAAAATGGACTTCAGCCTTCATCATCTTCACAAGTATTATGTTAGAAAAATATAGATCTAGAGCCCAAGAATTTTTGAAATATATGAGGGATGTAAGAATGGCAGCAGACAGATCGGGGAATGGTTGGTTCACATATGATGAACAATTTCGGCTTCGCAAAGTGTCAGACCCACACTCGTCCTGGGGAATCATAAACTCTGAACTCTGGTTGATCCATGTCACCAACAATTACACCATGCAGGCCCAAGAAAAGCCCATATCTCCCACACAAAATTTTTTCCCCCAACATAAACAGCCCAATATACCAGCAGCTAAGAAAAATGTAAATTCAGCACCCAATCGTTACTGTTATGATTTTAATTCAGGCAAGTGATGCAAATTCTACCCAAATTGCAGGTTTGTCCACTCGTGCAATTCATGTGGCGGATCACACCCCTCAATCAAATGCAGGAATAGAAATACATGATTCTAACGAGGATATCAACAGTTTAGGAAAAACTCCAATTGATGTCTCCAATTTGTCTACTTATCTACAAGGTTACAGTGCTAAATCTTTTCTCATAAACGGTTTCCTACATGGTTTTCAACTCCAGTACAATGGCCCAAGAATTTACAGGGAATCAAAAAATTTAAAAAGTGCTATAGTAAACCCCAGTATAGTGGAACACAAAATACATAAAGAACTCCTGCTCCAGAGGGTAGGGGGACCATTTGAATACCCACCATTCCCATCCCTTCAAATTTCACCATTAGGACTTGTCCCCAAAAAAGATGGAGATTTTAGACTCATCCATCACCTGTCCTTCCCAGAACATCAATCGATCAATTCCTTTATAGATCCAGCTGCATGTTCAGTACACTACGCATCAGTGGACGACGCAGCAGCCATCATCTCGACACTGGGGGCAGGTACTTTATTGGCTAAATCCGACATAAAATCTGCATTCCGGCTCATTCCTGTGGCCAAAAATGATTTTGATCTATTGGGGTTTAAATTCCAGGGTAAATACTTTTTTGACAAAATGATGCCATTCGGTGCATCCATTAGCTGCGCAATCTGGGAGAAGTTCGCAACTGCATTACATTGGATCATTCAATCTAGCTCACGTAACCCCCATATTCTACACTATTTAGATGATTTTCTCTTCGCGGGACCACCAAATTCTAATCAGTGCCAATCTACCCTCGACCTTTTCAAAAATATCTGTAGCCATATCGGAATACCAATAGCTCTTGACAAAACCACCGAGCCTAGCACAACAATAATTTTTCTAGGAATTGAATTTGACACAATCCACATGGTAATGCTACTTCCGCAAGACAAGTTAGTTTCTCTCCGACAAAGCATTCAAACAGTCATGATAAGTAAAAAGGTCTCCTTAAAGGCCTTACAATCACTGATTGGCTTCCTCAATTTTGCCTGCAAAACAGTAGCACCTGGCAGAGCCTTTTGCAGGCGACTAGTTGATGCCACTATTGGCATCAAAAAATCATATCACATGATAAGAGTTAATCAAGGTATGAAAGCAGACCTTGCAGTATGGCAGCAATTTTTGAAACACTTTAATGGGGTCACAGTCATATGCTCCGGTATTTGGTCATCAGATAACAGTCTACAGCTATTCACAGATAGCGCAGGGGGGTTTAATGGGGGGTTTGGAATCTTTTTTGCTGGCCGCTGGGCTCACTCAAAATGGCCTACCCACTGGGTGTTTTCTGACGTTATTCGTGACATGACATTCTTAGAACTATTTCCAGTATATGTTTCACTCCTGTTATGGCACCCATGGTTATCAAACAAACGCATACTTTTCCACATTGACAACATGGCAGTTGTACAAGTCATTAACACATTGACATCTAAGTCAACAAGGGTAATGAACACTGTCAGAAAACTTGTTCTCCTCACTTTGCAACATAACATTACAATTAAAGCCCAACACATCCCAACAAAAATGAACAAAATAGCTGACAGTATTTCTCGTTCACAGTGGGGAAAGTTTCGCAACCTGGCTCCAGAGGCAGAGATGTGGCCCACACAGCTCCCCAAGCAGATATGGGAAATCTAATTGCTGAGTCCAAACGCCTTATTCATAGCTCCTTGTCACAAAACACCTACAAAGCTTACCGGGCTGCACTGAATAAATTCCAATCATTTTTAAACATTTATGGCTTACAGCAAACCTGGCCCCTGCACAGCAACATATTACTATATTTTATAGCCTACCTATCCATCCAAAAAATGTCAGCCAATTCAGTGTCCCTTTACATTAGTGCATTGTCATACTTCCACAAAATAAACCATCTTCCTGACCCTACCAAGTCCTTCCAAATTAACAAAGCACTTCAAGGCTTAAAGCGCAACAACAGAGTTGTTCCAGACAGCCGCCTCCCAATAACCCTACCAATTTTGGAAAAGCTTGTTATATCACTACAGTCAGTGTGTTGCTCCACTTACGAGGTCAAACTGTTCACATGTGCTTTTTCATTAGCATACTTTGCATTACTTCGCGTAGGGGAATTCACTTTAGTCAACTCAAACACACCGAATTCATCCCATTGCATACAACTCAAACACATTCAAGCACATCCACACAAGCCCTATTTAAGGTTAACCATACCACACTCCAAAACTGACCAGGTGGGTAAGAATACCACCTTTATTATCCATAGCCAGCCACTTGCTACCCTGTGCCCAGTTAAAGCTACCTTGGATTTTATCAAGTGTAGGCCCCATACCCCTGTTAACCACAGTTTTCTAATTCATCTTAATACAAAACCATTGACGAGATATCAATTCAACGCAGTCCTTCAAAAGGCTATTGAAAACATAATACCAACACCAGGCCATTTTGGCACACACAGCTTTCGAATTGGGAGGGCAACAGACCTTGCATTACAGGGCACATCCGATTCTGAAATTCAGAAGTTTGGTAGATGGAAATCAGTAGCTTTTCTTAAATACATAAGGATCATGTAACTTGGTTCACAACAACATTCCCATGCCTACTAGGACTACAGACATCTACCCATCGATGCCGGGGGGGGGGGGGGATATTTGGACATGTGTGTAGTCAATTTAAAATCCAAAACTAACCAACCCAAAGCATTGCAGGTCTAAAAGTATGGATCATAGGATCATCCATTCCTTTTTGGGCAGGGGAAGCAGCCAAACACTGCCCAGGGGGACAAAGCCTGAACCTCCCTGCCACACTGCTATGGAGATCACGCAGGGGGATGCACTGGCAGGAATTAGACCCACAAATCCTACAGCTCATCAAGCATGAAGTACCCCCAAATTACTTAGTAATTCATCTAGGATCCAACGATTTGGTAACTCCAAACTTAACTAGCAAAAAATTCATACAAGAGATTCAATGCAGCTTCCTGCGATATAATGCTCTTCTCCCAAATACTAAACTGGTGTGGTCACACATTCTACCACGCCGTTATTGGCATGGAGCTCCATTGAACAGTGGAAAAAAGATAGACAAGAAACGTAAAAGAATTAACAAAAATATCTCAAAATTTGTCGCAGAAATGGGTGGGGGTGTAATTTCACATGCAAACATATCCGTTGCTAATCCGGAATTGTTTAGATTTGATGGTACACACCTCTCTGAGCTTGGCAACAGAACTTTCTTAAATAACATAAAAAGTGGATTGTGGTCCCTCATTCAAGGGAAGGGAAAAGTATCCCTTAATGTAAAGTAATGGAGGAACATCATATCGATGTCTGTGGCGGGTCCGGAGGGATGAGTGGGAGGGTTGCGAACACATCTGGCTCGTTGTTTCCCTGCCCAGCCATCAGACAAGTTGGTGGGCACATTGTTGGGTAGACAGGTTGTCTACAAAGTATCCAACCTATGGCAATGTGTAATAAAAGTCAAGTAAAAAGTCAAGTAAAAAGTTTTCGATTGGGGTCGTAGCCAAGTCTGCAGGCCTGGGGCCCCCTCCACCTCTTGTAACAGGAGGGGAGGCTTAGTGCTGGAGTACTTGGGTGTAAAAGTACTGCTGACCAGAAGCAATCTCCGGAAGCAGGGTATACAGATGTGCTCGCAAATCTCTCGGTCCCTAATGTCTAGTACCTAAATTTGGGATCTCGGGCATCTGTGACTAACACAGGGCCACTGGTTTTGCCCGGTACTTATTAGTCGGTATGCCAGCTATCCCTCCTGGACCCTATTTTTTGATTGTACATTTATGCAATGCGGCCATTTAATGCCAATTCCCTTATGTCCATCACAGTTATGAGTAATGCAAGATTGTATATGTTTTTGTTCAAGTCTTTAATAAATGTAATGAAAATTATGCAGCTGTTGTCTATTGTAAAGCTGGCAACAAGGAAAGGTCATGATGACCGTATGTGTGAAAAGAATCAAGTAACAAGGCATGTCAGGTCCTGCGGGGCAGTGATTACCTGACTGTTCAATTAAGGCAGATTAATTTGCCCTTATACCAAATTAATCTCATTTAATTGACGGAAGCACATTACAATGTTGTTAAAACTAATAGTGGAACGAATTGGTTATAATCCAAAAGGCAAAAGACTCGTATTGGTACGAGTTGATTAATTGATGGCACTTCCTTTTCCCGCCATCCAGCAACAGGGTGAGGCAGGAGATCCACATCAAAATTATTACCCACCCACCCGTCCCCTTTTTTATATACATGTAATTTCATACTATTTGATTCGTACATTCCTTTATGCCATCTCATATATTCCCTAAAACTTTAAGAAAATTCTACCAAAATATCCAAACCTATCATCAATATGAAAGAGTTATCCGTCATTAGCCAATGCAATCATTGGCTAATGAAAATGTCACCAAATTGCAGTAATCTGCTGTCAGATCTTTTGCTTTTTTCAGATATTCAACAACAAACAGGTACCAGCAGGAAATCCAGCTCATAGGGATTGATGCGGAGAAAGGACAGCCAATCCAATATTGTGCACAAAAACTAGTCCGGAACAGTGATTCAAGACTTGTGATTAAACTAACTTATAGTGACAGTGGTTAACACGTCTGTCTATAGTCTATTTACAATATTATAAGACTTTTTCAAAACACTTGTCGCATTGTATTTAAGGGGGGCGGGTCCGGAGGGATGAGTGGGAGGGTTGCGAACACATCTGGCTCGTTGTTTCCCTGCCCAGCCATCAGACAAGTTGGTGGGCACATTGTTGGGTAGACAGGTTGTCTACAAAGTATCCAACCTATGGCAATGTGTAATAAAAGTCAAGTAAAAAGTCAAGTAAAAAGTTTTCGATTGGGGTCGTAGCCAAGTCTGCAGGCCTGGGGCCCCCTCCACCTCTTGTAACAGGAGGGGAGGCTTAGTGCTGGAGTACTTGGGTGTAAAAGTACTGCTGACCAGAAGCAATCTCCGGAAGCAGGGTATACAGATGTGCTCGCAAATCTCTCGGTCCCTAATGTCTAGTACCTAAATTTGGGATCTCGGGCATCTGTGACTAACACAGGGCCACTGGTTTTGCCCGGTACTTATTAGTCGGTATGCCAGCTATCCCTCCTGGACCCTATTTTTTGATTGTACATTTATGCAATGCGGCCATTTAATGCCAATTCCCTTATGTCCATCACAGTTATGAGTAATGCAAGATTGTATATGTTTTTGTTCAAGTCTTTAATAAATGTAATGAAAATTATGCAGCTGTTGTCTATTGTAAAGCTGGCAACAAGGAAAGGTCATGATGACCGTATGTGTGAAAAGAATCAAGTAACAAGGCATGTCAGGTCCTGCGGGGCAGTGATTACCTGACTGTTCAATTAAAAACAATTGATTTTGTAAAACACAATATCTAGTTCTATGACATAATATGACTTTGATTTTCACATTCAGGAACCAGCTTCTTGAAATATGAGGTCATTATCTTTTATACTTCAAAAGTAATGATCAATGTTAAACTCATGGACAAACAGACAAATGAAAAGCAATACAGATCTCACCTTGAACCCCATTGGCATTGACATTAAAAAACAAACCTTATATATCAAATTCAATACCTTTACCTAAATGACACTAACTTCTCAATTTGCATTCTACAGATACCAGGGCAATTTATACTTTCAACGAGTGTTCAAAGAATGTGCACTGATCTTGGCCATGGGAGTGTAGCTTTAAGATGCCAATAAATATTTTGGACTCCACAAAGATTCTAGTATAACATGATAAAATAAAAATGTGACCTTTTTTTGTACAATTGTGGTTCTTCCTCTGACAGACAGAAAGACAGAGGTGCAGATACTATACAAAATGATCTCCATGTACATGTACCCATCAAACAAGTGACACAAAGGGCAGAATTCACTTTTAATTATCTGTGAATTCCCTTTATTTTGTTTTTTTTTTCCTTTTTCACAGAGGAAGTATATTAGACAAATTTCATCTACCAGGCATGTACATACTGTACCTTCATCTGTGCCGTCTTTGCCAAGCATTATTTTCATAGATGACAGGACCTGCTGAACCACACACACTGGCATAGAACTGGAATAAATTGCTGAGTGAGAGGACACTCTCAGGTGGTTGATCAAATTCTACAACAAGAATGCATTACAATTACCAGATAATCATTGATTTTTCCTCCCTCAAAAGAAAATGTTTCCCTTTTCAATTGTAAAAGTTATCTCCCATGACTATTATATTCTTGATATTCCTGATATTAAGCTGTATTATTTATTCATGAGGCACTGATATTCTGATTAAATCTTTTTATGATGGATATCTATAAATGATATAGGAAATAGCTGAAGTACCACAAACGCAGCAGATTTTTAATGATATTGCAGCATGAGTGTGTTAATTTCAAAGTAATCCATCAAGATTTTTCTTTTAACAAAATCTCTGATGTGTTGTTATATATGACGCAATTTTCAACTTGTTTTGCTACTTCAATGAAGCATTTGTACAATATCCCATCAAAGTGTAAAATATTATGCATAACCTTGTTTATGTACTTGACAGGAAACAAAACTTGTTATTAATACTTGAGATAAATTTCTTTAAAGAAAAAAAAACCTTTCAAGTTAATTTAATACAGTACAAAGGAGGCTTACAGTGTCCCTGTATTCAAGTTTCTATATATACACTGTATAGCCAAAGCAAAAAAAAAAAAATCATTTCTGAATAGGTTGATGTATTGCAAAATCTTGGGAAGATCTTAAATTGCACAGTGTAAAAATTTCTACACATAAGACAAACTTCTACCATAAAACCTAAAATTGAAAATTTACCTTTGAACCCACTTAGAAACTTAACTATGAACTGTAATTAGATATTTACTGCTAAACCTAATGGGACATTTTAATACCTTTCAATTTTACAAGTCACTGATCTTGTAACCTTACTAGACATTGCCCTTTGAAATAAATTACAGTACAACAAGCTTATAATGAACATGTTTATAACGAATTCACACTTACAGCGAAGTGCTCTTCATTCCCTGAGGTTTTAAAATGTATCTTGAAATTTGCAGATATAATGAATTACATTTATAATGAAGCAAAACTGTTCATCCCTGGCACTTTGCTATAAGCATTTTTAACGAGACATTTGACCTGTTATTAAACTTTGACCTTAACTTAATTTACCTTTGTACCTCCCAGGTAACCGCCAGCAGCACCAAAACTTTTTGTAAATGTCCCCATCATGATGTCAATGTCTTTTGGATTAACACCAAAGTAATTGACCACTCCCTTCCCATGAGGCCCCAGGGCTCCAATGCTGTGTGCCTCATCCAGATAGACATATGCTTTGTATTTCTTTTTTAACCGGATTATATCTGGAAGTCTGACTATTGAACCCTCCATACTGTAATAAATAAATTTACTGATTGCTGCAAAACATGCCTTTCCAAATATCTATTCATTTTTTTTTTATTCCTGTAAGTATTTCAGCTAATAATGTAGTTTGTGTCCTTCTAAATTATCTCCCTTACAAAGTTTTCCATGAAACTATTTAAATAACAAAAAATAAAATAAAAACTTATTGCAGATACGATCACATGAAAGTTTTGTATCATGGAAGAAATGAAATGCAAGTTTCTGAAACTAAATGAAATGGTGACACCAGGAAATCATTCTTATTGTGCAAGGAATTATATATTCTTCAGGTTCCATTACAACAACTTCCTTTTGCTGAATTAATTAACAATCCAATTAGTTTTTTTTCCCCGTCTTTTCTCATTTACTCATGCACAGTACAGTGCAAACTTCCCCCTTTTTTCCTCCCCAACAGTTCTGAGGAAATGGATTTGTGTAATAATAAATGAAAAGCAAAAATAATGAAGCAATCATTTTATCATCTGTGTATATATTTATATATATATACCCAGGTACAATTATATACAGTCAAAACTTGTTTTCTTGAACTCAATGGGACCGAGAAAAAACTTCCGAGATATCCGATGATTCGAGGGTAAATTATTAAAGAATAAGGGGATTTTGGACTTCCAAATCACTTTGACATATCCATTGTATTTGAGATATGGAATATCAAAGTTCAAATGTATATATAGATCACAGGGATTTTCCACTCCTTATTGGGAATGGGGCCCAGGCCCTTGGAATTGGGAATTCAACAACTTTTTATCACTTTTTGGGAAATTTCATTGCATGATGTTTTTCAAGAAATAAACACTTATGATGAGTAAAATTGATCTTTTACTCAATTATTCAGAACTATTATTCAGAGAATAGATCAATTATAATAATGATTTATCCAAGTTTCCTAAAATTTCCAAACCTTATCATGTTTCTTTTTCATGAATTTTGATCAAGTTGACTTTGTGGAGTTTTTTTGTGCGTTCAAAAATTGAACAGTGCAGTTCATTTTTGGGAAAAGGGAGGGGTTTTCCAATTGGGAATGGGGCCCATATTTGGCCCTACATGGGGCAGTGGAAAATCCCTGGATCATTCTTTATTCATCATGCTCTTTTGTAAGACTTACCTGTATATACCTTCTACAACAATGAGTATCTTTTTCCATGGTCTGTGTGTCCTTGGCATCCCTTCTGTCACAGCGTAACGTAATTTACTCTCTAAATCTTCCATATCTTAAATGCCAAAGACAATTATCAGTGCACAATATGCTGGAAAAGAGTTAAGTTTTTAATCATTTATCTTCTTGTAAAAATAGAAGGGTTGGAAGTATCATGAATATGCATTTCGATGATCAATCAAATTTCACAAATGAAAAAAAGATACATTTCTGAACTATTGTTAAAACTTTTCCACACCCAATGCTCATAAAAAATATCTACATCACCTTTGTTTAACATGAATATATAGTAAGTAAACAACTTCACATTCTAAACGTAACCCATATATCCCAAATAGGATTGATCAACTAAGGAGACTTTAATAGGTGTTATCTGAGTCTATAAAATATTGCATACAGCAATATTCAGGTGTTATATTTTTGTTCTATTTTATTATATGTACCACATACACCTTTGTAACTCACCATTATGTTTGAATGTTCTAATGGAAGCTCCCGACAAGCGGGAACCCAAAATCAGTGATGCATGATTTAACTCATCACTCAAAATTAGACAACCCTGAAAATACAAAAGAGAAAGATTATGAGGAAAACAATTTTTAAAAACATGCTAACACAATTGTTTAAATGTAAATTGTAGAACATGCATATTTACAAAGTGTGACACATAGACATGTTTAACCTCATCCATTACTGAGAAATGCTCTGTAAATTTTTTCTTTGAAATATTTTTTTTTTTACTTTGCATTTTTTTAGTCTTGAAATTAAACAGATTAGAGAATCAATTGCTGAATTTAATATAAGGTAATGTGACTTCGAATATTTAAATATTAAAATATTTGAAATATTTTTAAAATTTGATTGCTCAATGAACATTGTTCATTTACATAAATGAGGATAGACCATTGATCCATATTATATACCAGTATGAAACCTAACCTTAATTAGGGATTTATAGGTTAGGGAAATAAGCTTCAAAACATACATAAGAATAGCTTTCATACCTTGCCTACTAGGAGAGGCATATTCATAGAATTTGTTGCAAATCCCATGGGGACAGTAATGACATCTTCGACTCCCAAGTACTCTGCCACCAGGGTGTCAAGTTCTCTGTGGAGGTCAAGATAACCTGCAGAAAATTTGAGTCTAGGTCAAGGTCATATCAAATTAAAATAAATTGGATAATATTCTACAAAGGTTTAACATTTCTTTACAAGTCTCAATAAAATTTTATATATATAGCAACTAATATGTACAAGATCTGTGACATTTAATTTTAATGTAAAAATGATTAAATCAAATTTAAAAATCTTTATAGTTTGCTACTTGGCATTCAAAACTATTTTAACATGATTAATTGTATAGTGCTTCTTTTTTTAAACCCCTATTAGCTATATGTTTAATTTTTAAAGTGTTTTTATGATGTCATTGAAAACAGCTCAAATCTAAAGTGATTTTTTTTTCTTTTCATTACATAAGAAAAGATATACATGTAGTAAATGTAATTCAAAACAGTTTTGCAGATTTGACTTCATTCAATTGAATCTTACTCGTGCGTACTAAAATATATTAGCAAAGTGTCCTGACTTTTTACCGACTTTAATTCATATCAATAGAGAAATGAAAATTTAAATGTGCCTATATAATTCCTTCTGACTATCTGGCACAAATTCAAGCATCATATTCATTAACAAATTAATGCATTGAAAAATTGCACTGAATTTTAGCTGACTTTATTATTGTCCATCAGAAGAAGAAGAAGTAAACAAATTAAATGTACCCAATTCCTGGCGACTAGCACACGTCCCAACACCATACTTCTGAACAATCTCTTCCACTGCTTCAGCACATGGTCCCTCGTTCTGTGAAAATCCCAGGTAATTATACGAACCAAGGTTCAATACTCTCTGTTTTTTCCCAGTCAATCTACAAAAAAACACACATGTTGTCAAGGGAATTGTTAGCCACTGCATTATCAATAATGTACATCATACCTTCCTTACTTCACATACACAGATGCAATTTTCCACTACATGTATTATATATCAGTGCATGTGTATACTAGTCTAAAGTATTCATTTCTTTGTTACTTCTATGTTAAATGCTAATTCATGACTTAGTGTCGAGCATTAATTAAATGGTACATACAATGCCACAGCATCAATGTGTGTCCAATCTAACAGAATGCAATATCTATCAATAAAACTTTTGACACAAATTGATCAGTATAATTAAGCTTTGATCTCAGATTAATCTCTGTGAGGTCATGTTTGGGTCACTTGGCTTCAGGATGTGCTATATTTGTTTATGAATAATGAAAAAGTGTTGATGTAGGACACCATACTACTACAGAAAATGTTTGTTCAGGGCAAATATTTTATGTCCAAAAAATGTAGATTTCATTGCATGGGTACACTTTAAGGGTAAAAGAAGTGGGTTAAGTTAAGTTGACTGGTGATAAATCCAGTATGTCAAGTCACAGATCAGTGGTAAATAATATTTATTCATGAAACTTGTAAATATTTGTTTGTGCATCTCACCACCATATGGAAAGAGTTGCAACTTGCAAGCTAAGCCTTTACAAATAAATTACACGCCAAGCATTCAGTCAACTGTTATAATTATCTAATATTCGTGCCACTAATTCCTTGACTAGTTATCCAAACACACATGTGCAGAACATGATCACATATAACCCTTCTGTTCCCCAATATTAGCTAGGATGTACCAGTAAATGTCATAAGAGTAGGAAATGTCTACAGCAGATCTGCATCATGTGTATCTTTGATGCAAAAATTGATGTGAAACCAATAAATAAACATTGGTAGAACACCCTTAAGGTCTCTTGCTTCCATAAACACAAAGGCCTGATTAACCAAAACTGTGTGAGAACACTTAATAATGCTTTATTGGTTTGTGTGTTCATCAAAATAAAATTATTCAAGAATCTCAAATACCTTGGGTCAATGCACTTTGTTCTATAATAACGTACCATATCACAACAGTTCTACCTCAGGCACTTCAGTTCTACTGATCTAATTACTGGGTTCAAGAAAAAGCAATGTTCTAAAATTCATGAATTAATAGTACAATGTAATTGCATGGAGTATTTAATGATTACAAAATTAAAGTACTACTAAGTGTTCCATCCTGTCGCTAGTTTTTAAGTATGTAATTTAATGAATTGTGGACAACAGGTAAAAACCAATAAATACCTCTCCATAAAGTTACAGAGGGCAAAGTAGAAAGAGTGACTCTTTAAATGAGGAAATTAAAAAATGATCGTTAATAACCTCCCCACTTATACCCTTTCAAAATTCAAAAGGGGATACACCAGTCACAGCTGTAATCTACTAGCAGAATCCATTAGTATCAAGAAATCCTACATGACATGAAAATAATTTAAATTATCGGTAAGAGTAAGTTGAGGCATTATGCTTATAAAATTTTATAATTTCATTATCAGTACATACTGTGGTGAAATATCAATTACAATAATTATATGTAGACTTACAACATTGCATTATTTATATCAAACTTTATCATCAATATGTTTAGTTTTTTCTTTTAAATAAAGTTTTAACAGAATAGTGAAGTATGAATATTTAAACATTCATTTCAGCTCCAGGGCTAATGTCCTTGTATAATTTGCATCATGAGATCTTGATAAGGATGTAGAATTACACTTAAATCGGGCATAACCTACAAAAGTGTTTACTAGTGAATCTTTGAAGAATCTCAAGTATGCTACTCTATTCATACTTTAAGAAACATGATGCTGTCACAGGCTATTTCCTGCCAACTGATATTGTTCCAGGCACACCTCTATCAAGTACCGGTATTCCTAACCTGCATCAAGATAGTCACCAAGAAACAGTGATTTTTTAAATATATTTTAAGGAAGTTTTTTCCCCCCCGGAAATTGACAAAATTAATGTATAATTTTGTTGAGTGTAGAAATTAAAGCTTACAATTTGTTAAAATAAGAAATAAAATTCTTGGGCATTAGGAGTGAAACGGTTCACCGCGGAATCGATGCACCGCGGTATTTTTTCTCGGTTTGATACACGGTGCAAAATCTCAAATTTTCGGTTCGGTTCATTTTTCGGTCGGGATCGTTATTCAGTCGGGTTTGGCATAAGGTATAACACGTTACTCAGTATAAATAAGTATAGAAAACGTAAATTTTTGATGACTGATAGCTTGTAAAATAATTTTTGACAGTCAAATAATTTTAATCAATTTCTTCTAGTCAATTTGCAAATAAAATTCGTAAAATATGTGACTAGATTTAGAAAAAGAAAGCATAAAACAACGTAGAATTTGTTTCCTTCTATCAAAATGTATCGTATCGAAAATAACCGAACCGAGACAAAATTATACAATACGTATCGAACCGTGAAGGAGGTGTATCGTTTCACCCCTATTGGGCATTTTAAATTGAACAAATGAACCATATACCATAAATTCCAAAAACAAAAAAAATAATAATAAGTTGTACTTATTCCATTTGCAGATAAAAATTTTATAAGATCATACTATCTGGGGAACTTTTCTTATCATGTAATTAGTATCAGTCTTTTTCTGTGTACATATATATAATCAAGCTTGAGAAAGCATCACTTACTCAAAATTCCATCCATGGTCATGGCTGACCCTTTCCAGAACGTCCATCTCTGCCCCAGCCACACTTCCTATTGGGCGATTCCAACAATCTCGGACTCTTCTGTATAAATTTCTTGTGTAGAAACTTTCCCAGCTTTGAAAAAGTGGTACAAACCCCTGTAGAAAGAAACATTATGAGCAATTATCACTTTTTTTTTTTTTTCAAATAATCAAAATTAAAGAAGAAATTCTTTTTTTTCCCCTTTCAACATCTCATATAAGCAAGTGCTTTTTTTGTCATTCTTACAAGATTTCAATTATCATGAAAATTGGTTATAATTCCATCATCTTAATATTAATAAACACTTTAAATCTCATATGAGTCTTAATTAATTACAAGTACTCTGAAGGGTGACTTCTATGGCTAGCAAAAGTATGTTACAATCAAAATAAAATACACAACAGTATCTCCTTACAGTTATATTCTGTCACCATTCATCACATGAACAGACATCGTTATGTAATTCATTCAGTAAAAGGTGAAAAAAAAATCTTACTGGTAATTTTGGCTCCGTGCATGATTTGATCTTCTCGATTCCAATACTGCGTAGGAAATCTCTAATTTGTCCAATCACAACTAAGATAGCATATCCTAAATATGTCCATATTGCAACACCAAGAGGTGTTTGTTCAAAATGTTCTTTAAATGAAGGAATACTTTTGGTAGACTGTACCTGAAAATTAAATTTCAATTTCATGACTAGTTTAATTTTCCTGTAAAGTATTGTTGTAGGGTAGAAGGTTTTCCCCTTTGTCATTTATTTTGCATAAACATGTTTTATTTACGCCAAGCAATCAATACATATATATTTATCTTAAGTGATGGGCAATATCATTCATTGGTTTCAAGTCAAAAACAACTTCCTAAACATTAACCTCTTACAAGTGTAATAATGGAGGGACAATTTTTAAAATTGCACTTGGGTCTTTCTGTCAATTGAAGACCTTCCCTCAGTTGAGCTGACAGACAATGCTATAAACAAGTCACATATATCAGCTAATAACAAATCAAACTACTTTCTATAGCCCTTAGCTATATTATTACACAATTCTTCACACTTTCATTTGTCAATTATGTTTAAAATGAAGTTATATTATCTATCCTAGGGTTCATCAAACATTCCATAACACCAATTTTTGATTCATTATTGCAATTCATATTTGTTGAATACATTGGTATTTCATACTATATCATTAACATTTTGTTTTAGCAAGAGGAAAGAAAGACATTGAAACATTCAATACATAAAAATGAAGTACATGCAGTAAAACATGCACAATCCAAATGATGTGCATTTTGGCACAATGTGCATTTGTGAAGAATACTTTGGTCCACAAATATTTCTCCGAGATTCTAAAACATTCTCATATCCGGGTATTATCGAACCCAGAAAAAATCTATTTTCATTTTTTTTTCTATAAATGATTCATATTACATTCAGTATAAAACATGACAACAAGCAAATGTGTGAACAATTTGTAAGAAACTGTATGCAAGAAAAGCTACTAGGTAGGTTATTTAATTATGTACAAGTATTAATATATAGCATACCTAAAATGTCAAGACAACCCAATATTTTAAGACATCACATGCAGAGCATTTCATTCTTTTATAATGAAGTTTTACTGTCTAGCAGTAAACAAATCTTAATGATAAAAATCAGATCTTCATAATTATAATGTTTATAATAGTCTTTTCACCTGCTCAATTACATTTCTAGAGACTTCTTATTGAATGAAACATGTTGCTAGCAGATATCCTTAATGATCGTATATTAGGAATTGATTTTATGGCAGCAAATATGTATGTGATAGAAATTGAAAATTGGGTTTCACATTTTGCGAACCATCCAAGAATTGTAAAAGAATCCATCTCTGATATTTTGTGTTTAATAGTCTAGCTACTTCTTTCATCATTTGAGGCAATATTAATAGAGGACTTTAATGTAAATCAGGGAATAAAGGGACTAACCAATGTTGGGATAAATGTTCTGTACCAAACAAAAATATGGTCAGGATGTGAAAACACTTTTTCTTAGACCCATGGGTAAAAATTTTAATGTTGTGTTTGCACTGTAACTGCCATTTAAAGCTTACATAATACTTTTTGAATTAATCAGACATTTTATTCACAAGGCCAATGCATGTTAGACTATGCAGTTCCCTTTAAAGAATTACATTTCAAAATCCTGCAATGACCCAGGTCAGTAAATGTAGAGCAATAAATCCAGAAAACAATGGCCAATTTTACAAGAAGAAAAAAAAAATCAGATAACTTCAGGTTTATACTGGTATTCTATTTTTGTTACAAACAGTACTGGTGATTATTTGTCAGGTCAATATTTTGTCTTTAAAAACAAAAACACTATTATTATACATTATGATGTATTGTCCTTGATAAATGACTGGCATGTTTGTACATACTTCTTCAGTTTATTCTTGGGTTTAAATTCTTGAACAATTCAATATTAAATTTTCTGCAGGTATAGAAAATAACTCATGTATTAATTAAAAAAATAATGGAACAAGTTTACATCTGGTTGACAATTTTATCCAAGAAAAACTTTTCAAACTATTATAAGTCAAAGCAGCGATTCACAAGAAAATCTTTATGCAACCATTTTAATGTATTTATACATACTGATTCTTAAGAATTAAATAGTGCTTAATATCATTCTGTATTTTACAGTTAATTTAAACTGCATGAATGACCTGTTTGTTTAGGCAAATCTACCCATTATTAAATTTCTTATCAAATACTGTCATACATAAAAATCAAAGAAAAGTTTTTGTTTTTTAAAAAAAAGGAGATGCAAACTTAAGTATAAACAAACTTTATTAAATTCATTCTGTCACATGTCAGATTCATTATTAATTCAAAGAGCTCCTTCAATTTATATCTACATACAAATATTTCATATAGTTCACAGTACAATTTAGTCTTCATTTCCTGAAATGGAAACTTGTGAATCTAAAGGTACCAAGTTTATAATTATTGCTTTTTTTTAAATGGGTAAAAAATCAATGCAAGTGTTCTTGATTAAGCAACCACATTTTGACCTGGCTTTGAAAACACATGGTTTTGTTTTGGCAACAGACTCACACTATAAAGGGGAATAACCCAAATAATCAGTTGATAGTGCATGGGTGTGTCTTTCAACATCGAATTAAGAGCACATCACTTAATATGCAATTTACTCAATAATTTAAGACATTCTATTATGTAGAAAATATACCCTAAAGACCTTTATGGAATCAAATTTGGTGCCACTTCACAAGAAACATTAGATACTTATAGTTTTATACTCGTTATTTTTATCTATTTGAATAATTTCATCTCGAAAATAATAGTCTTACTTTATTATAAGTTCCATTCACTTTATGTCCATTTGAATATGCTCTAATGCCATTAGTTTTTCCGTTTGAATGTTTGTAATTATTATTTATTCCGTTCACCGCCACCTCAAATCCATCCCTTGCCATTTTTCGCGTGTTTATACTATCATTCCAGACTTACACTCACGAACTGTTGAGTAACACAAGATCTGATTTGTAAATACTTCAGAAATCGACCAATGAACTGAATTCTCTTTTCATCGGGTGTTTTCAGGCAGTGTGATGAAAAATCCCGAGACAGGAAATTACGTTTCTTGCGCATGCCTGTGAAATTACGTCAAGTTCACTGGCTAACCGACCAGTGTTGAAACCAGAAATCCAGAAGAAATCAAGAATTGACAGTCTGACAAGCATCGTTGCTCAGAAGAATGGACCTTAATAGCGAGCACATGGAACATAAAGATGCGAGCCAAGAAGACTTCGAGAAAGTGGACAGAATCCCGGAGCAAGACGAGGAGGTGACCACCACGTCATTTTCGGGTGAGACGGTGGAGGCAGACCGTTATGAGCCTGGATATTCTTTACCAGCAAAAACAGTAGCTGGTAATGAAAACACTCAAAATCTGTTAGATCTTGATGATAACGAACCATTTGGTCAGAAATCCCAAACAGGTTTCGATTCTATTCCAAGTAATATTGAACCCTTGAAACCCTCTGCACCCCCTGCTTCAGGTTTTGACTTACTGGGTGAATCATTTGAAAACAATCCCATCACTTCATCCTCTGAAAAAGAAACACCAGTAAAAGCTCCAGAAAGAAAAGAAGCAGTTTCAACACCTTCAGGTAAAAGGACGACACTGTCATTCACAATAATGCATCTTGATCCCATGTAAAAATTTGCTTTTGGTTAACTCAAGCAGGACAGCTTATATAATTACTCATCTATTATTAATTAAAAATATAAGTGTCTCTTTAGATGAGGTATTGCAGCTTTTATCCAACAGAAACAGTAAGGAGATTTATTTCCTGAACTTACCAAGGTGCACTGGACTGTCACTTGAAAATGTGATGAATCAGGCCATTATTGATAATTAGTTATTTAAATTTGTGATTTTAAACTTATATATATCAGTAATTTCCTGATTTTTATCACATACTAAAAGATATTGCTCAAAAACAACTTTATTTAAAACAAAACACTGTATAAAATTATTCAACTTACAAGGTCTTTTAAAGAAAAAAAAGTCTGCTATTGTCTTTGTAGTTGTAATCCAAATTTAGACATAAAAAGGAGAGAAAAAATAAAAATATAATAGCCTTAAGAAATATTTTAAAAAGCATATTCAGTGCTTTCAAAAAGATTAGAAACAGGTGGTACTTTTACAAATATAGGAGGTACCTTGTGGAAGCAATGTTAGGCCCAAAAAAATAATAGTCTTGTTTCCTGCTACCAACCTGAAAAAAATAGGGTAGGTAGGTAGGAAAATTATTTTATTTTTTAATTTAATTTAATTTTTTTCCAACAGTATTTTTGGATATGAACTAATATAAAACCAAATTAAACATGTCATAGGTCAATATTATCTTTTAAAATTAAATCAACTAATGCCTTTTGATGCACAACTCTGGTATTTTATGAAAGTCCATATTAGAAACATACAACTTCATGAAATACCACTTGAATATATATTTTTTTCAGTTTAGGAACATGAAATTCCTAAATTTTTTGATTTTTTTTTTTTCAAAACTATTAAAAAAAACTTTAGGGTCGGGTGCAAAAAAATAGGGTCGGTCGGGTAGCAGGAAACAAGACTATTATTTTTTTTAGCTTATCAAATTTTTCTTCAACAAAAATATTCTGGCTGGTACAATCATGATTCCAGTCGGGTAAAAGTAACGGGCATTAGTAGATTTTAAAAGGCTTGCATAATTGAAGATAATTTTAAAACAAAGTCACTATATACTAAAAAGAACCAGTTTAATTGGAGAAAATGGATGTCAGGGAACATAACCCCTTCTTTGTTTACACTGGAAAATACCATTTGCAGCATTGCATGATGGTGCAAAAGACCATTTTGGAGTTCACTAAAATTGTCTGACTAGAATGATCAAGTACACATGATTTCAAATCAATTATCATTTATGCCATATATTCACTGGAAACAACAATTTTAGAGCCCCTCTCCTTTGGCATTGCATTATTAAAGGTTTTGGAGGCAGTTATATTTTGCTGGAATTGTTTTATAAAGAAAACAGGTTAAATTTTACTCATTGGAAAAGATAAAAATATATGCTGCATATTTTCAAACAATGTATGTAAAATATAAGATGCTTTACAATTTAATACCAGAATTGTAGAGCTGCTTACTTTTAATTAAAGCAGAAGTGTCTGCTAAAAATTCATACAAAATTCAAACAATTATCATATTGCAACATGATCCCCATATGCTATATTGCAATATTTAAGGTTTACTTTTCAGTTATTTTTAATTAACAATTTTTAACCAGAAAGTTGAAACATAAGAAAGCTGCATTACCCTTTGGAGAAACTTATCAACTTGATAGTTATGATAATCAACTTTGTCAATAGTATAAATAATGTATGTATTTTAAAACTAATTTTATTACATGATGGTGGCTAACATTTCATTTTGCTTTCAATGTCATATGCTTTTAGTGGAGAAGAAACTCCCTTCTGAGTTTGGTATGTACTCGGTGAACTGTAGTTGGTCCCTTTACATCATGCATGATACAATTATTATATCAGATAGTGGTACTTCTATCTGATATTTCTGGCACTATTTCTTTACATTATAATGAACTCATTCTTGCAAATTTGCATGTACAATTTTACAGAGGAAACGAGTCAGTAATAAATAACACATATGTTATAAATACCATATGGTAAGTAATCCATAACACATTTACATAATTTTGGAAGACTCATATTTGGACTTGGGAGGTCATAAATAACATAACCTCTCATAGAACTTCGTTACTATACCTGGAAAACTTGTTTAATCAAATACTCTTCACCTTGCTGTCCTTTTGGTCACCATTTACTAATTGTGCAGAGGGACTATTGATATGAAGTAATCAAGGACCTTCTCAAAAACTTTGAATCAAAATTGCCTTTCCCATACAAAGCAATGAAAGCATAGCTGTTCATTTATTTTTCTTCTTTATGTAAAAGAATCCAGAAACTGGTGATTTATAATTTTTAGATGCAAGATAAGACAGCAGCTTTTGAGTTATCTGTCCTGTATGTGTAAAGATGTTGTAAAATATTCCAAGATTAGCAGCATGCTTTCAGTATTTTTCAGGAAAGTAATCTCTAAGCATGCTTGCAAAAAATTGCATTAATTTCTTATTTTGTTTACACTTCAACTGACTTCTTGATTAAAGAGTAATTTTCAATGGCAATTTATGTGACACATGTTTCAGACAGACTTTCATTTATCATGTTTATAAGATATAAGCATCTTTAATAATAATATGAAGAATCAGGATCTAAGATTAAAAAGAATTAAAATTGACATGATTCATAAAGTTTTGATAATTAAGTAATCTGAATGTTTTTATTTATTTATTTATTTATTTATTTTTTTTTTTTACATTTTACAGATGCTTGGTTGAAAAATGTTGATCCAAGAGGTAAGTTCTCCACATTATTACTTATTGCATGTGTGTGTAGGGTTTTTAGGGTGATTGAAACTCATCTTAACACCTCTGCAGGTATTTAAATTTTAATATATGGTACTGTTCAGCTTCTTTCGTAAAATATCCTGTCAAGAACTAGTTCCACTGATAGACTGGTAGATTGTTAAAGACATTAGCTCTATAAATTACTATGTTAAAGAAAATTGGTTTAGCTAGCTACTTGAAATTTTGATCAACATGGTCATGTATGTTTGTCAAAGATCTTATTTAATCATCCTTGAATAGTTGGAAGAGAGACATTTTGAGCATGTGCAAATACTGCAGACTTGAAAAAAAAGGGTTTTAGATAAGTTGTTTATATTCCTACTGATAAGACAATAGTCATCAGATATTGAAAGTGAGGTCTGAAAGTGTGAAATTAATACAGTAAAACATACTACGTGTAATAACGAACTGCCAGGGATGGATGATTTTGCTTTGCTATTTAAGTGTAATTTCATTATATCTGTTACGTGTTCAATATATATTTAGGTCACCTGAGTCACTCAGGTGACCTATTGCTATCTGTTCTCGTCCGTCGTCGTGCGGTGTGCGTCGTGCGTCGTGTGTTAACATTTGAACATTTTTAGCTTCTTCTCTGAAACCGTTTAACCAATTTCAACCAAATTTGGCATATAGCATCTATGGGTGAAGGGGAACAATAATTGTGAATTTCATGGTCCCTGTCCCCCTGGGGCCTGAGGGGTGGGGCTAAAACCACTGAAAATAATGCAATCTTTAAAAATCTTCTTCTTTACTCCTGGACATCAAGCAGTCAAACTGTTGGCATCATAGTTATAAGCATTGAGCCCTCTACCAAAATTGTGAAATTCATGGCCCCAGGGTCAGGGGTTCTGGTGCTAGTGTGGGGCTATATAGATCATATAGTGAAAATGCATTATTTCTTTGAAAATCTTCTTCTCTGCTCCTGGGTATTAAATAAACTATTTAAGTACACAGTTATGCAGAGCAAGAGTGCTTCTTCCAAAATTGTGAATTTCATGGCCCCAGGGTCAGGGGTTCTGGTGTTAGGGCAGGGCTCTATTGATTATGTAGTGAAAATGCATTAATTCTTTGAAAATCTTTTTCTCTGCTCCTGGGTATTAAATAAAGTAACTAAGTGCATGGTTATGATAAGGCAGAATGCCTCTTCCAAAATTGTGAATTTCATGGCCCCAGGGTCAGGGGTTCTGGTGTTAGGGCGGGGCTCTATTGATTATATAGTGAAAAGGCATGAATTCTTTGAAAATCTTCTTCTCTGCTCCTGGGTATTAAATAAAGTAACTAAGTACATAGTTATGATGAGCAAGAGTGCCTCTTCCAAAATTGTGAATTTCATGGCCCCAGGGTCAGGGGTTCTGGTGTTAGGGAGGGGCTCTATTGATTATATAGTGAAAAGGCATGAATTCTTTGAAAATCTTTTTCTCTGCTCCTGGGTATTAAATAAAGTAACTTAGTACATAGTTATGATAAGGCAGAATGCCTCTTCCAAAATTGTGAATTTCATGGCCCCAGGGTCAGGGGTTCTGGTGTTAGGGCAGGGCTCTATTGATTATATAGTAGAATTGCAGTTTTTCTTTGAAAATCCTTTTCTCTGCTCCTGGGTATTAAATAAACTAACTTAGTACATAGTTATGAAGAGCAAGAGTGCCTCTTCCAAAATTGTGAAATTCATGGCCCCAGGGTCAGGAGTTCTGGTGTTGGGGGGGGGGGGGGGGCTCTATTAATTATATAGTGAAAATGCATTAATTCTTTGAAAATCTTCTTTTCTGCTCCTGGGTATTGAATAAAGTAACTAAGTACATAGTTATGATGAGCAAGAGTGCCTCTTCCAAAATTGTGAATTTCATGGCCCCAGGGTCAGGGGTTCTGGTGTTAGGGCGGGGCTCTATTGATTATATAGTGAAAAGGCATGAATTCTTTCAAAATCTTCTCTGCTCCTGGGTATATTTCAAACAAAGGAAGTGCATGGTTATGATAAGGCAAAATGCCTCTTCCAAAATTGTGAAATTCATGGCCCCTGGGTCAGGGGTTGTGGTGTGTGTGTGGGGGGGGGGAGCTCTATTGATTACATGTATATAGGGAAAATGCATAATTTCTTTCAAAATTTTTTATCTACTACTGGTTATAAACTAAAGAAACAAGTGTACAGTTATGATGAGAAAGGGTGCTTCTTCCAGAATTGAGACTTCGTGGCCAATGGGTCAGATGTTCTGGTGTAAGGATGGGGCTTTATTTATTTAATAATATGGTGAAAATACATTTCTTTGAAAATATTCTATGCTTCTCTGGATGTTCAAGGCAAACAGAGTAAAAGTTTTAATATGCAAGGGTATTTTTACCAGAATTTTGAACACCTGGACCATTTAGTCAAGTTTTCTGGTCCTGGCCAGGGCTGTATTAACTTGTATTTTACTGAGCAAAGTTATTCCCCTTTGCCATTCACCTTTGATAATTAATCAGTGTACATAATGTATTTGAAAGCTTAATAGAATAAGAGAATTATGCAAGAAAATTTATTTTATAATAAAAAAAGTACTTTCATAGTTTTAATGACTTGGAAATAATAGATGAATAAAAATGAGACAAAAATAACTTATCTTTTTAAATGTTCTTCAAAGGCCAAGGGAGGCCATTGTGAGAAGGAATAATATGGGGTTAAATAATAGACATTTTGTTAATAGTCTGCATGGGAACAGTGATAAATGGGGGAGGGGGGGGGGCAGATAGATACTTGACCAATTATTTTGTTGATGCTAATCATACTAGTTTTCTTGCTGTTGGGCGACAAAGCTTCATTTATCAGTTTATGGATCCTCTAAATTGTTGTATTGTACTCAGGTGACCGTTAAGGCCCTTGGGCCTCTTGTTTAATTAGCTCACCTGAGCTGAAGGCTCAAGTGAGCTTTTCTGATGAAAATTTGTAGTTGTCGTTAACTTTTCACAATTTCATCTTCGCCTCCAGAACCATTGGGCCAATTTTGACCAAACTTGCCACAAATCATCCTTGGGTGAGGGGGATTCAAGTTTGTTCAAATGAAAGGCTATGCCCTCTTTCAAGGGGTGATAATTAAATAGTGAAAATTTGGTGGCATGTTTTAAAAATCTTCTTCTCAAGAACCACTGGGCCAGGAAAGATGAAACTTTTATGGAAACAATTTTAGGTAGTGTAGATTCAAATTTGTTAAAATCATGACCCCAGGGAGTAGGGTGGGGCCATAATGGACGATCAAAGTTTTACATAGGAATACATAGGAAAAATCTTTAAAAATCTTCTTCTCAAGAACAGCAGAGCAATGATTAAACATATTTTATTTAATATGGAAGCATCCTCATGTATGCAGATTTAAGTTTGTTCAAATCATGACCCCCAGGGGTAGGGTGGGGTTACAATAGATGATCAAAGGTTTACATAGATATACATATTAGGAAAAATCTTTTAAAATCTTCTTCTCAAAAACAGCAAAGACATGATTGGTCATATTTATATGGAAGCATCCTTAGGTAGTGTAGATTCAAGTTTCTTCAAATCATGGCCCCCCAGGGGTAGGATGGGGCCAGATGTACATTGGATAATCTTGAAAAATCCCAAGAACAGCAAAGATTATGTCCCCTGGGGGGGTAGGGCATTGACACAATAGAAGATAAAACTTATGGGAAATTTTTTTTAAAAATCTTCTTAAGCCATGATTTGTCAAAGAAATATGGAAGCATCCTGAGTTGTGTAGATTCAAGTTTGTTCAAATCATGCCCCCTCCCCTTAGGGATAGGTAGATACCACTTATAAAATACTGAACTCCGAAATGCTCAGGTGAGCGGTGTGGCCCATTGGCATCTTGTTTAAAGTCAAGGGGAATGAAAATCACTCTCCTATAAGCGTCAGTTCATTATAGGCCTGTTTGCTATAAGTGTGTTTAACTGTACAAGCTTTATTACTTTATTATAAAGCGTAGTTTCATTTCACAGGGTATAATTTTGGGATTGTTTGTTTTCCTGATGTATCAAGTTGACTTTGTGGCCTAATAGAGTTATCATTATAAATACTAAATATGAAAAGATGGGCCCAAGAGAATTGCAAGCAATGCTATTAGCATTTAGATTGAATGACTGTCATGGATTCATTCACCCCATACCTACTATATAAATGTGCTGCTGTAAAATTTTGCTATATACAGGTTTGGTGCAGTGTCTGGTACTTTGTATTGTGATTCAGGTATTGAGTCATAGAGTATTGATTAATTTTTGCTTTTGAGAGCAGAATTAATGCTTGTTAATAAGTTCAAATCAATAAATGAGAAGGTTTTTATTGTTGTCATCTCTTGGTTAAGATATTTTCTTTTTGTCTTGAGAATGTAAGCCCTTAAAAGTGTTTGCTGTAAGAGAATGGCAACAAGTGACTGTTGCTGTATATGTAATGTCAGTAATAATCTGGAGCCGGTATGTGAAGCTTTTAGGACTATATCCAAATCCTGTTGTATCGATCCTGTTGACAAATACTCCAGAATATTACTGAATGTCACTATAGTATTTTGTAGTAGCAAAAGTCATCTATCTCAATCTGTCGTTAGGCTCCAGGGATAAAAATGATACTACTCAAGGGTCCAAACCTGTAGTTGAGAAATGTCATCATAAATGGTATTAACTTATAAAGGACATATAATCATTCAGTTAAGGTTCAGTTATTCATTGCATTGAAACAAGATCCCCCAAAGAAAGACATTTACAAATTTAAGCTCAATAACTAGAGTATTGCTCATCACGCTTTATGTATACCTCTACCAGTAGGACAAAAGAGTAAGTTGGAGGAAAAGGATGAGGGACAAGCAGAAAGTAAAAGTAGCACTGGGGTCACTCCAAATAAGGTTACATGTAAGTGAGGCATGAGAAGGAAAATAGAGACATTTATTCAGTGTACACAACTTGCTTAAAAGTAGGGCTTGAAATACTTAATGTTTGGGGACCATATCCACTGGAAACATTTGCACATCTATGATTTCTTGAAATTTATGAAGCATTTGGCAAAAATAGTTGGCTGCTGATATGTGTATTGTAAGAAATGGGTGTTATTATATATGATTATTACATTGCTTTTTAACAGGGCAGTCTTGTTACATGCATGTAAATATTTACTAATGAAAGTCTACCACAATTTAGAGTAATTGTATACATGTCCTTCAATTCTTCTGGAGTAGCTAGGTCAAGTGAAATGAAAAGAGAGTAAAAGGTACCGTGCATGTTTATTTAAACTGTAGTTGCCAAGTTATTAAAAGCTATCAAGATTATTTAAGTTGTTTAGAATGCAAAGATTGTTAATATACAGAAGTTGACCTGGTTTTGACAATAGAAGGGGGAAAAGTGGTGTGCAAAATCAAAATGAACCTTGACGTAAACATTAGATATATTTGAAGATGGTGCATTATGCAATATTTTGCATGTGTCATGTTATAGGACAAATTTGTATACTTGTGGAAGTCCTTACAAAAGGGAATGGGTCAATCTTTTATTTGAGCATGAGCATCTGTTATTAGTGGTACAGAGGCAGGTTCAAGGGGGTTTGTTTGATTTAGGGATGATCTATAATTCTGGAGTTTACATTATCTCATATCTGTGGTAAAATGTTTGAAGAAGCAGAAAAAAAAGATGAACATGAGTGTACTGACAGTTTAGAATTTCACCCATTTAGAAAACACTCTGCCAGGAAAACAAATGTTTATGCAGTGGTACAAGTATTCATTACTCTATGAATATTATTCACTAAATTACAAGACTAAGTGCTAAGTTCATGGCTTTGCAAAAACAAAAACAGAGACAAAACAATCAATGTTCAGTACCTTTATTCAATGAGAAATCTTTAAACAGAGTGTGCGTAATAAAAGCCTGCTCTGAAGTTTTATCATGAAGTAGGAATTCCAAAGTATTTTATGTGGAAGAAAGTCACTCAATTATCTGGACTAGAAGCCAATGTCAGTCCAGATGGATTTTTGTCAATCCAAAAGATATTCAGTAATCAAAATGAAATGGTCATTGAACATTTTATTAACACATTTTCTTATCAACTCCTACAAGTAAGAGCCCGGTTTAATGTCCCCATGTTTTATGTGTGAGGATTTAACTTTCTTTTTCATAATAAGAAATACTCTAATTCTGGCCAAAAAATATTTATTAATGTTCAAAGCATTGTATTAGTTGCACTCACAATGGCCTTGCTATTTAATCTTTTTGAAGCCTATTTTCAGGTATCATTGTACTAATAATGAATTTATACATTTAATGTCCATTGAATTTAATTTTAGCCCAAAATCTTTTGTTACAATTATATAAAATTAATTATATATAATTATTTATTAATTATATAAAATTAATATTGATTATTTATAACTTTATGTATCTATGAAATGTTTAAAAGAGCAGAATTGAAAATGACAAATCATTTACTATAAGAAAAACTGCCTTCCTTTAAGTTAGCATCACATCCAGTTAGTTTATTGTGTTACCTAAGCACAACAAATCAGATATTAATGAGTGGAGAAAAAAAATCATGTCATGATTATGAGTCAGAGGAAGTGATAATTTGGTGAATTCTGAAGATGAGGCTGTCAGGTAAATAAAACCCAGGTTCCCTTGCAATAAAATGCCATAGATCCCAATCTCAGTGGATAGGGAGATCAGATGGAGGTTGTCGGGATCCAGTGATAAATTCTTGCAATACTGATATTAGCATTGGGTTATCCAGCTGGCAATTCGTGATTGATTTCTTGTATTGTCTCAGTGTGGCTAGGCCATTGCAAAAGTCAACAGATCCCATGTGCACTAGTGAAGTGTGGAATTTCAATGGTGTATGCAAATATTTCATGATATTGTATGCTTCTATTAGCTTCAAACCATGTTGACACAGCCCAGAGCTGATGTGTGGTATGCACAGCTGTGCATTGTGGCATTATTGAATGAAATACTACAGTTCATTGACTAGGAAATGTTTAGTTATCGTAATTATTTTATTTTCCCAGATAAGGAGCATATCTGTACAGACCATAATAAATCATGTCTTGATGTGAAATACTTTTCACTATAAATCACATTATATTAATATTTTATGTCCAATAAAAGATGACATTATCCTTTAAAGATGCTAAATTGATATCTTGAATTTCCTCCCCCCCCCCCCCCCCCCCCCTTATCCTAGTTGTGGTAGAATGAACCGCAAAACCCACTCCATTCAGCTGCAATACAGATTATTAAGTGACATGACACTAGTTTTTTATTGACCCTCTTGTGGAAAAGGGTCCCTGTACCCTTTCAATTTGGAATTTCAAATTGAAAAAAAAGGTGTCAAAAGTTGGAAATTAATGTCATAACAGTAAGATTGTAGGCTTATCCTTTATTCACATCTTTATATACATGTAATCTAAAAATTCAAAACTGTGGAAAAATAGCACTGAAAAAATTCAGTGTACTTGTCTTTTGGAATTCTCACTTAAGGTTTAGGGGTTAATTTTCAGTGGGGTCATTTTACTACCTTATCTGCATGCAATGGATATTAAGCCCTGGATACGATTTATAAAAACAGTTGTAGAATTTGATCCACAATGCAAGTTTTTAATCAGAAACCAAATGAATTTGATTACTGAATGCATCCTTTATGATTTAATTATTAAAAATGGTTGCATTATATATGCTTGAAGATTGCTTTGGTGTTATATTAGGTTTTTGCATACTAGGGGTTATTAAATTGTGTATACAATTTATATAAGAGATAGTGTTTTTAGTTCATAATTTATGTTTTATGATTTTTGTAGTGTTGGAGCTGATTTATTGGTGTGATGTGAAGAAGACTGGTGTGGTGTTTGGATCCATGTTATTCATCCTTCTCTCACTTTCCTGTTTCTCTGTACTGAGTGTCCTGGCATATCTCTCTCTCGCTGTCCTTACTGTCACCCTTAGCTTCAGAATCTACAAAAATGTCCTGCAGGCCGTGCAGAAATCTGGAGAGGGTCATCCTTTCAAGTAAGAAAAAGGGGGAGGGACTCTCTAAATCTTTGGTATTAAGAGAACATTTTATAGATTTAGGAATCTGAGGTAAAATTTTGCTCAGAACACAATTGTTTCTGTAAAAAAGGAACTGGGTAACATTTTTTTGTTTGAAAATTTAAAAAGGGTTCCAAATTTACATAAATGTAAATTGAAATGTGGATTTAGACCAGTTGATCTGCAAAATAATTGGAGAAATGTCTGTTACAAGTCATATGGATATTTAACAGGCAACTTTTGGAGATGGACATTGAATTGCCTGAGGACAAAGCTCGAGATGCTGTGGTCAATATTCTGAAGCACCTGAACTGCACCATTAGAGAGCTCAGACGCCTATTTCTGGTGGAAGATTTAGTAGACTCTATTAAGGTACAAAATCTTACTAGAAAATCTCATATTTAAGAAATAAATAACTTTTGAATGAGAGAAGACTGGGCATTTATATCTGACATGTGCATTACAAGACCTTTCCAAATGTACTACTAAAAAAAGATTTTTAATCCCATTACCTTGATCTTTAGTTTGACCTAATTTTCAACAAAAATTTAATGTTGATAACTTTTGAATGAGAGAAAATTATCTTTTATGTTTGATATGAGCATTACCTGTTTCAAGATCTTTCCAAATGTACTCTGGTTTTTGACCTCATGACCTTAAATTCACAGTCTTTTGCCATTTTTTTTTCATTGGTTATAACTTTTGAATGAGAGAAAATTATCTTTTATGTTTGATATGAGCATTACATGTTTCAAGACCTTTCCAAATGTACTCTGGTTTTTTACCTCATGACCTTTAATTCACAGTCTTTTTCAATTTTTTCTTTACATTGGTTATAACTTTTGAATGAGAGAAAATAGGGCTTTCATATTTTACATGTAGTATGTTACCTATGACAACACCTATATGAAAGAACTATCATTTTTGACTTGACTTTGACCTGAAGTTTGATACCTATGAAACATTTTAACTTTCGCCATGACTTTTCTTTCAGAAAAGACAGGGCTTTCATATTTTTGTTCACGTGCATTACTTGTGACATAACCTTTCAGGTTGTACAGTGGCTCCTGTTTTATCCAGTAGTCAAGTTGTATTATGATATTTGGCCTCATGACCTTGATCTTGATGTTTGATGCAATTTTGAGAAGTTTTAATCTTTGTGGTATCTTTTTTGTGATTTTTATGTCTTTTTTGTATGATGGACGGACAAGACAAGACACACAGACCAGAAATTTACAATATGCCATAAATAATTGTACTCAACCACTAAGACACCAAAAGTGAGAGACCACAATTATTTGAATTTGCTTGCTAACATTGTTATTTATTGCTTATATTTACATTTGAGGAAAATTTTTACACCGACAACCCACTGTATTGTAGTCTGTATGTCCTTCAGGCTTTGACCTACATCATGTCATGACCTCTTGGTCCTTGGGAAAGGTCATACAGAAATGAACATTTTTGCTCTTCACTAATTTCATCCAAGAAACACAAAATCAAATCTAAAAGCTGTATAGTAGCAATAATTCCAATGTATAATATATTTCATGTATAAGCATTAGGTCTAAGGGATATTTATATGGTTATAAATCTGAAACACCTAACACCCATAATGACAGTGTGAGATTTTACTTAGTGTTTTTTGAAGCTCAGGTGAGTTTTTCCGGCTTTCTCTCTGAGGTAAACCTGATTATCTCAGTGCCCAAGTACATCAAGGTGCTGTAGGTCATGAGCTTTAATCCAGACTGGATCTATCATAATCTCGGTACCTAATAGACTTTTTTGTGCTTCAATGTAATACCAGAAATAAATGAATATCTTTAATTTTTGGGATACATATATATGTACTATGTTTTAAATGCAAGTGAATTAAATGCAATATATTTAATTTCTTTGAAAGAAGTTAATAAGGTAGCATTTGAGTACCTCTGTTTTATAATTTATATTTTCATGTTTTCTAGTTTGGACTTCTCCTCTGGGTTCTGACTTATGTTGGATCTTGGTTCAATGGCATGACTTTAATTATATTGGGTAGGTACCTGTGCTTTGAAACTTTCATGTTTGTCAAAATATACATGTATATGGTATAAAAGACATTTAGCATTGTGTAACTGGATTTTCTTTGTTTCAGCTGTAGTTGATATCTTCACCTTGCCTAAAGTATATGAAACTTACAAGGTAAATATTGATACAATTCTTACTTTCTAAATGTTTGACACTGTGTGTGTAAAAAAAAAAATTGTTCATCTGGTCAATTGGTCAGAAGAGCTTATGCAAGGTAAGAAAAGGTACCTATACCTTTTGTCCATTTGTCTGTATCACAGGCACTTGGGGTATGTACCCCCCCCCCCCCTTTCCATTTTTTTCTTTTTAAATCTGGGGTCGAATCACCTTTTTCCTATTTTTGTATTCTAATATGCACTGTATGTTATCAATAATGTAACTCTTTTGTCTCTATAAGCTGTTTTTAAATATATCGTTTTCGACTGATACATAAAAAGAGAGAAGGCTTGCAACTCTTTTCTCATCGTCTGCCTCACCTCGCTTAAACTTCGCCTGATTATTTATCGAAAGAATAAGAAAACATGGAATATGCATACATCAATAAATTCCTAATGCATTCTTCTTTCTTTTCATATTTCCATTTATTTTTTATGTGCCCCCAATTTGTAAATATTTCGATTAAATCACCTGCATCTAGGGTAAATTTTGTTGGTGTGCACCAGCTGGGACGGAAGTGCAATAACGGTAACTCTAACTTTATAAATGTTCTGCATTAAAAACATTCCAGGCTTTGTAATAACAATATTGTGAAATTTGGTTGTCTAGGTCGTCTATTAAAAGTATAATCTTCATCCATTAAAAATTGCTAGATAAAGTTATCTTGTTATTCACAGAACTTACCGTTACATGTTATATGAAGAGAAAATTCGGGATTTATTCCTTCTCGCATTTAATGTTCCGAATGACATTACACGTAATGATGATACCCGATAATACCGGGCACTTCCGTCCCAGCTGGTGCACATCAACAAAATTTACCCTAGATGCAGGTGATTTAATCGAAATATTTACAAATTGGGGGCACATAAAAAATAAATGGAAATATGAAAAGAAAGAAGAATGCATAAGGAATTTATTGATGTATGCATATTCCATGTTTTCTTATTCTTTCGATAAATAATCAGGCGAAGTTTAAGCGAGGTGAGGCAGACGATGAGAAAAGAGTTGCAAGCCTTCTCTCTTTTTATGTATCAGTCGAAAACGATATATTTAAAAACAGCTTATAGAGACAAAAGAGTTACATTATTGATAACATACAGTGCATATTAGAATACAAAAATAGGAAAAAGGTGATTCGACCCCAGATTTAAAAAGAAAAAAATGGAAAAGGAGGGGGGGGGGGGGGTCCATACCCCAAGTGCCTGTGGTCTGTATACAAACATTTTTCAAAAATCTACTGCTCATAGAGTTTTGGTCTGATTTAATTAAATTTTGCAAAGAAATGGCTTTAAATGTACACAGTGGTACAAAATTCTACATACTAATTTAAAATTCAATTGACAATATTGGTATGTTCCTAATATAAAATGGTATAATTTGTGCATTATGCTTCAAATCCTAAAATTTTGGCCTGATTTTAATAGAAAATTGTACACAAGTCTCGGATTTACTGCAAGATACTTAATATTTTTTTGTAAATTTCTAATAATTTTGATAAGCAGGGTTGTCATGGTTACTAAAGATAGAGGAATATAAAAATATTTTTAATGACACTCCACCAACAGATTTAGTTTGATTTCAGCAAAACTGGGTAAAATACATCCAGGAAAATATTTCCTTTCAATTTTAGTGAATGATGTTGCCATGGATACAAAGAGTAGAATGATTCTTTTATCATGTTAATAATGCTTTTCTTAGTAGTTTTCATTTGCTTTGAATGTACAGACGTAGACTACATCAATATGGAAGCAATATATATATAAATAATTCATGTGTTGATAATTTTCATTTCTCCTTATGTCAGACTTAAGAGGTATTTTTGTCAGTTCTCCAATAAAAATGTATAACTTTTAGTACTAAATGCAAGTTTCCATTTATGATAAACCAGTATAGCAACTTTCAATTGAGATTCTGACATTAGCTTACCTGAGCCAGAGGTTTATGATCTATAATTGTCCAGGGTAAATCTGTCTGATGAGTGATGAACATGTAGGTAATCTTCATGTATGTGTACTTTTCACATTTTCATCTTCCTCTACATAACCACTAGTACAATTACAACTAAATTGCCACAAAGTATCAGTGGTTGATAGGAATTAAGTTTGTTCAAATGAAGAGCCATGCCACTTGCCAAGGAGGATAATTTGAAAAATAGAGAAAATTTGGGTGGGGTAACTTAATTCTCAAAAATCATTAGGCCAGAAAACAAGTTATGTGAAAGTGTTTATATTGGGTGTAGATTCAAATTTGTTTAAATTATGGTTCTCGAATGTAGGGTAGGGTCATAAAAGGGTCAAAGTTTTACATGAGAATAAATAGGAAAAATCATAAAAAAAATCTTCTCAAGAACAGCATAACTGTAATCAGTCATATTGATATGCAAGGATCCTCAGGAAAAAAATCTTAGAAAACTATTCTTAATTGCTGGGCAAAATTACATTGTATTCATATTAATATATAAAGATCAGGTTTGTTCAAATCATGGCCCCTGGAGCCCTGGATACAACTGTTAAAAAAGAACAGCAGGGCCAATCAAAATAATTGCATGTTGCAATAGTGTTTTTTTTTTCTAAAGTCATGGCATGAGGGGAAAGGTTAGGACAAAAGTCAAGAAAAAAACCTTTTAAACAAAATCAGGCTCATGATTATAGTCAGATCATAGGTAAAGCATATTCATATGCAGAGCTGCCAACCCTTATGATTTAGGCATAAGACTTATGGTTTGAGCATCTAAAAAATACGTTACAATTTCTCTGTTTCTGCTTTTTATTTCCTTTTTTTTTTCCTTCAAAATTTTGAAATACTGGAATTTTCAAAGCTGTCAACCTTCAGTTTTCACTATGAAAATTTTTGAGAAAGTCACAGTCCTTTCCCATGCTTGTATTGTCTAGGGCTGTGTATTGAGCAAAAAATTTCGATACGATACAATATTTTACAAAGCGATATCCGATATTTTGGATTCTTTAACAAGTCTAACAAAAAGTCTCATAAATCATTTAATGCATGAATTTTATAAAAACTAATTGTTTTATAACTCATTTCAAAGTTCTTGTTTCACTGTCATTACAAATTACACTTGAAATTCAAACTTTAAATGACTGTGAAATCAACATATTAAAAATAAAGTTGCCTAGTATGTATTTTGTAATATTTATCTTAGATGTGCTATCTCTTTAATGATTATATCATTATTGATCAATTTTAATTCATAACAGTGAAAATATAACCTTTGGTGATTGAAATTCCTAAAATTTTCACAGAGTTATAAGAAAATCTGCCTGTCCGATACATATTGGAAGTTATTTTTTCGCTATGATACATTCTTAAATATCGATACATATCGATATATTGATACAGCCCTAGTATTGTCATTGTCCGTTTTTAAGCTAACTTGCAATCTAAATCGTTTTAAAGTAAACAAAATGGGAAAAATCAGCGTCCAGGAACCTAAGCAGTCCCTGGACCCCCTCTTACGAGCTCTGCATGTATATATGCATGTTTGTTCATGGCCTTGAAGTACATGTATTAAGTACATTCATCATTCTACATAGGAATATATAAGAAAAAATATTTGAAAATCTTCATCTCATGAGAACAAAGGACACATTTAGTCATATTTACATGAAGTTTCCTTGTGTGTTTGTTCAGAGAGTTAAAGACTAGGTTGAGGCCATAATTGGGGGGAAGTTATACACAGAAATATATAGATATCTACCAGACTGAGTATGTTACAAGTTGTAAAGTTGACATCAAGCTTAAAATAAAATATACTGCAATTTGTTGAAATCATGCACTTTGATTTGGAGATGATATTTATATTTGAATTTATTTGTCAGAATGGGAAGTTTGACTCAGGTGAACACTAAGCACTGTGGCCTTTGGACCTTTTGTATCTGAAAAAAGACAATCAAAAATGAAAATCAATTCTCTATAAGTGTGAATTCATTATAAGCATACTGTAAATGTTTTTTATTAAGCATGTTCAATATTTGGCAGAAATTAATATTTAGCAACTAATGCCCTGTTCACACGGAGAGTTTAATTCGCAGTACATTAATGCGAAGTAAAATGATGCGAATTGAATTGCCTTCACACGACAGCTAATGCGAAGTAAACTAATGCGAATTATAGTTTTATTTTTACAACAAGGCTATTCAGTGAGGCTATTATGACGTCATTTACAAATCATGTCATATTGTGCAGAGCAGTAAACATTTGACCACTGATTTGACATAATGTCATAGTGTCTGTAGACATTTTAGTGATTAACATAATTTTCCTTTGTTTACCACTCAAAAATAGCACAAGTACCTATATTTGACCATCAACATGTGGCCTGTGACTTAATTCTGCCCTTACACATGTGTCAAAATTTAATTCAAATTAGCTTCGCTTAGCGTTCACACTGTGCTAATGCAAAGTAGTTTAATGCGCAGTACACTAATTTGAATTAAAGTAATTCGAATTAAATTCTCCGAGTGAACGCAGATATCAAATTTAATTTGCAGTAACTTACGTTTAATTCAAATTAAACTCTCCGTGTGAACAGGGCATAAGTGTAGATATAATTTAGGGTATTTCCAAATGCATATCTTATTATCTGTATCTACAGTAAAGTGATGTACTTGATTAAGCTGAAGTTACTCTAAGCCAAAGGCGCTAAATAGATTACACAGCCAAATGTTATTTGTAGACTAAAATATAGAGCAAAGTATGCTTACTCTGACGATTTTCAGGTGAATACTTTTGAAAATAAGTATTTTTCTGTGATTTTAGGTCCAGATTGATCATTACATTGATCTTGCTCGCACACAAAAAGACAACCTCTGGAAACAGTAAGTGAATATAAACTTTTACATGTATTTATTTTTAAATGCATTAAACATGCAAAACATGTCTTTACATATTAAATTGAAGATATTTCAATTCCAATGGCACAATGCACAATTTTTGTATAGAAAAGCTTGATTTAAGATTGGTCTTGTTTTAAAAAACAATTGTATTATGCATATTGAATATCTGAATATTTTATTTTCTCAACAGAGTTCAGGACAAAGTTCCATTTTTGAAGAAAAAGGAGAAGAAGCAATAGATTGTCTTCTAAAACTGATTAGATATTTATAAATAAGGCTTTTTGTGGACTGTAGTTTAATATAGATGTGTGTTGTCAACAGAGACTTGTATACTATTTGTATTATACTGACTATATCAGGCTGGCCGCATACAGTTTTGTTATTAAAGCAAGTTATACATTTATAGTATTAGTTATTAGATTAAAGTGTGTTTAGGGGAAGTTTAAGTATACTTTGAAGTGTGAATGAGATTAGAAGTCCATAAACCCTCATTTTCCCCACCTAGATTTTGCTATTTCAATTGTATATATGAATTCCTTCATATGCCATTTAAAAGTTACTCAGAATTCAAATGTATAATGTTATTTGTTATACTTTTGTTGCCTGGTTGTAGGGGTAAAATTGTTTGATTTATGTCTATTATTTGTTTTCCTAAATGCAGATGTTTCTCTTGATGGCTTCCATTTCCAGAGAAGTGGGGTTATTTTTGTGTGTTGATATCATAAAGTATGGTTACACCATTGTAAGTCGTTGTTATGGATACACATATGTGCCATGATTTAAGCCTTATAACAAGTTTGATTCAAATTCATGTATTATACAGATGCCGAGTAAAATCGAAAACAAAGTGTCTCAAACCAAGCTTGTCCCATAACTCAAAATCCGATAGTGTTTACAATTATCTTTTTACTGCAGATATCATTTAAAAAGTTTTCTTCTTTTCATGTATGATCATTGAAAAGACAACCCTAAGTCCCAAAATAATCCTTAGTTTTGCATTATTAATAGGACTCCTGATCTCAAATAACCACACTTGATAACGAGTATACATATATATATGAAAACAAGGTATTAAGTTTTACACCAATGTACAGACCTGAAATAATTTCATCATTTGGAGCAGGCATGACAGACTGTGCATAATATTTTGATACCAAATTAAAAATGACCTGATTGGTTTTAAGAAGATCCCATGTTTATTTTTACACTTCAGTGCTATTCTTTGCAGCCTTTGCTTAGACATATATAAGAGTATTCCATATAATATGTAATGTCGTAGCTTTGTATTGACTGTGAGTCTTATAATGAAGCGTTATTTATTGTACGTAAGTAATACTGATTTTATTATTATACTATAGGTAGATCAGTTGTTGTGACCATTTTAAATTCAATATTAATTAAACCTTGCACTTGCTAGTCACTAGCAAGATACTGATGATAGGTACAGGGATTTGGAATAGTGCATAAACTGTGGTTATTATATGTATTGAAGTTTTCGTTTCATTTATTAATAAAAGATGAGAATTAAAAGGAAAAATTTTAAATTTTCCCTTTTGAAACTCTCTTAACTGAAATAAAACACTACTTTTGCAGAAAATCTTTCTGAACAATTTATAAACACTGACACTGTATGTATGTAAACAACTTGTACTGAATATATAGTAATGTGTATATTCTAGTCTTATTTCCTGGGTCATGTTTTTGATGATCCCAGAATGTTATGGTGGTGTATGTTATCTAGTAGACAATGAAAGGTCAATCTTGTTTGTCAAAGGATAATTTGACTTTAGTACAAACATGTTTTCTCCCCAGTTTTCCATTAGTAAGGGAAAAAAATAATACTTGAAAATATAATGTGTTTGGATCACTATATACATATTTTCAATGTTGTTAACTGTATGAAATAGAATTGATAAAGGTAAATTTAATTATTTTTTGTGGAGCAAAACCAAGAAATATTCATGTAAAACAGTTTTACAAGTGTATTAATAAGAACAAAAATAAGAAAACAATGTTCATTTTGTAAATACATGTATTGATAGACACAGAGATCTGTGAACTTGTAAAAAAAGAAAAATAAAAAGGAGATGTTAATTATTTGATATGTAAAATGTACTTAAAATAGCAAATGGGATGTGTAAGATATATTGATCTCGCTGTATATATATCATGATTGTGAAGTAGTTCTGTACAGGTATTATTCGCCCTTTCATTATATACCACTGATTTCTAAGAGTCAATGAAAGAGGATGTACATGAGAAGTTTCTACATTTCTTCAAAATGCAGTTCCTTTGTGGAAAGATCAGAAAATTTACCTATGTGAAAAAATAACACTTGTATTTTGATAAATGGTATATGAAGATATATTCTTGAAAACAACTTTATCACAACTCTTCATTAAGTCAACATTGGCCTTGGATACATTGTTTTCACTTGAAATGTGCTGTCTATGGAATACATCTGTACACCTTATGTAAATTGTTTTACCTTGTTAAAGCTTAATGTCTGTAAATTTGTCATCTCTCTGGCTTTTTTGTGACTCAAGATGTTCTTATAACAATAAACTGAATGTTCATTACATGTACTATTTTTGAACTTTTTAACTTCATGAATATCTCACACATTACACAGAGTAGAAGAAATTTGTAAAATTAAAGTGACACTGAATCACTGAAGTTTGGTTATCCACACTAAACAAACAATAGTTTAGCCAGACTAAATGATGTTGGATGAACAAGAATACTTGTCATGAAATTGTGTATCAAAATGATCTGATTAGTTAATGTCGATTTTTCTTCCTTCAAATTTAAATTTCTGCATTGGCGATAATGACGTTACAAATGACACCTCATGATATAAACATGGTTGCAACAATTTCTTCTTAGATCCATGTCGGATACACTTCTTATGCAGAGTGTATACTCCCGGGATGTAAGAAGTCTGATTTTAATTATATTTTGGTTGCAACAGCCGGAGCCATCTGTGTATCTGAGCAGGAAAAACATTAGGCAAGCCTATCGCCGGATTATTATCCAAACACTTCTTAGAGAAGTGATGTCTCACACACTAGGAAAGGAAAGCACAGAAGTTATAACTTGTAATGTGGGCATTTTTAGCTCTACTTGGTCAAACACCAGAAGAGCTTATGCAATAGTAAGGTGTCTGTCCACTGTATAGTACATAGTATAGTATAACAACTATAGTATACTACATAGTATACCATTCACTGCTGGATTTTATTATAGCCTATGATTGAATTATTCCAAGCTCACTGATTGGCTGAGATCCAACATTGTAGAAAAAATACATGTAATACAGTTGAACTTCGATATCTGGAACTCTCATATCTCGAATACCATGGATATGTCGAAGTGATCTGGAAGTCCCAACCACTTAATCTTGAAGTATTTTACCCCTAATATCTGGAATCCTTGGATATATCAAAGTTTTTTCTTGGTCCCATCGCTTTCCTGATAATGAGGTTTGACTGTATGTTGTGAATGTATGGCTGTCTAAATTTAGAATCAATTATGGATCAAATTTTACATGTGTATAGGAAAAATCTTTTCCATACCAGCCTCAGCAAGCATGTAAGTTGATCATACTGAGGCAATCTTTAAAAAATAGCTTGGTTGTCCTCTCCCGTCCAACTGGTTAAAAATTAACCGACTCAGAATTTTTTTAACACCCAGGAAGCAATTATTTTTTTTATGCATTCTGGAAAAAAGATTTTGAAAATTCAGCATTGAAATTGAAATTTTCTGGGGAAAAAAAAATTCTCACCTACCTTCTGACCGGTATTTTTTTCATCCTGACTCGGGAGAGGGCAAATAAACATTATTTTAAAGTTGGTCTGACATTCAGCATCTCTTTATAGTGTGAATTTAAGTTGAAAAAATAATTTAAAACCTTGGGCTTGGATGGGGCAACAACATAGAGTCAAGTTTTAATTTTTTTAAATTCTTTGGAAAATCTTAAGATTTGATGAAATCAAACCCAGGACCCCAGCATTACTAATGTGGTGCTCTAACCTCTGAGCTATCTAGGCCAATATCCATAGTCATTATAGTCTTAACCACTACACTCCTCCCTCCTTAAATTGTCTTCACCTTGAAGACACACATATAATAACCAGAATCTTTTGTTTCATAGAGGAGCTCTCACCTGCACCAAATGTAACAGGAAGAGAGAAAATTAAAAAATGACTGGACACTGGACAGGTAGTCAAACCTGGGAGTCCTTTATTTTTTTCATATTGTAATTGTCAAAATTCAGTCCGTTCCTCAATGTTCGCCAACAATGCTGTTTTGTCTTTTCGGTAACATGTTCACATTCTTATCTTCAAACTTCACACAAAACTAACTCAAGATAGTCAATAGTGATAGTGTTTGACCTTAACCTATAAGTTTAACCTCGACTTTAGTAAAAAAAAAAAAAACATGTTAAAGAGTAACATCTGTCAAAAGAAAACTACCAGTTCATTTTAACCAAGTTTAAGTATTTATTGCATGTTTCTAATACACTATTTATGCTCCAACCAAGAATTGGTATTGATTTGAAATTGCCGCGGCAACATTGCATCATTTTTATGAGCTCTTCCGTAAAAGAGGCGTGGAAGGTTGTTGATTCTATGCTAAACAGAAGATCCGTTATGGCAGACACTGACGGAGTCAACAAGAAACATGTTTCGCAAAAGCACCCGTTACTGGCAAAATCTCTGATAGATTCCTCTGAACCAGAACCAACTTCGAGGGTGTTAGTTATCTATACTGGTGGAACTATTGGGATGAAAACAAATGACAGCGGAGGTTTGCAAAATGAAATATTACTGTTGATGCATTGATCTGTAACGTGTAAGCAAATGTTATAAAAAGTTCATTTAAGTTGTGAGACATTTTGAATATCAAACTGTCTTTAAGAAGCGCGAATTAAAAAAATAATAATGTCTCGAACTCACGTGGTTTGCAACTTCCCTTAAATCACGCTGAGTTATGTAGGGGTGATTTTTGCTCAAATATATTTCGATGTATTTGGGTCTGTTCTAGCCACCAGACACAAATTTATTTGTGTGAATTTAAGTCTGATTGCATATTAGCTAAATTCACTGGTGGAATCGTCCATCCACAATATCCGATTAAAGTTCTCTTATGATTATACCCAGTCATCATGAATGTGCCCTTGCCTGGAAACATTAAAATTTAGATAATATGTTGATGGTGCGACCGTTGGGGCGAGCGCAGTTGTTCACTTAGTTTTAAGATCGGCCTCTTCAAACCGCACAAGACATTTGGAACGTTTGGAACGTCTAGACTGTGATGTCACATGACGTTGTATGTTAGCTGCATTAAACGAAGTTTGATTTATAGGCCTAGTGCAAAATTTAACAAAGAATGTTTAATCTACTATCTGTATACAATATCCATTAAATTAAGGTGATTTTTTTTTTTGGGGGGGTGAATTTTTAGATGTGAAATCGTTACCGGGAGAACAAAGTTAGCAGCGAGAAAAACAAGCATTGCATTGTGGGTCCAGAGTTACTGCAGAAAAAAATTCATTTGGATCAATGTGCAAAGTCTGAATTTTCTCTTTGCCCAGGTGTTGCTTTAAGAGCTCGCAGTGATGAGCGGGGCTTTGCGCTGCTTGCTGCTCTCTCTATTACTTGGCTTTGTAATAATAATAGACTGTTTCACAACAACTACGGTGTTGCTCTTTTGCAGGGCAAAATGATATATTTTAATGAAATGTGACGTAAAGCAATTGTTTAAAATACCTCATTTTAATTATTATCTGTCATCAGAAACTTTACCAAACGTTAATTATGAATTTGCCCTGCAAAAGAGTAGTACCACAGTTATTGTGAAAGGGCTAATTACTTACTTACTTAATTTAATGATAAAATTTTAACTGTGCACTAAACTAAGGAAGTTTTATATCAGGAAAGTATTATCATGCAGCGGTTGTACTTTCAGTTTCAGTTTTACTTATTTTTACTTCTGAAATCACCTCTGCCAATGAAGTAGAGATAAATGTAACTATATTTTAATAAGCTTTTGCTGTACCCCCAGCATCAGCTAAGCCTCACCACCCAAATTGGCTCTTAATGTATTAAGTAAGTCAATTCACAAATAAATATAAGCCCTGCCTGGACGAAACTTGCATGGATGAATGCTTCTCAGGATGTTGCTTCAGATTTTTAGCTCTTCTTAGCCAAAGGCTCAAAGAGCTAATGCTATGGCCATTTGTGGAGTGTGCGTAAACTTTTGAGAATATGGGCCATAACTTGAGAAACCCTTGGCCAATTATTGTCAAATTTTCACAGGGTATCCTTGGCCCAAGGGCTCCTGTTAATACTAAAACTAGGGTTGTGACCCTTAAACAAGGGGAGATAATTAGGTAAATAAAACCAAAAGTACTGGTTGCTAAAATATCTTCTCAAGAACCACTGGGCAGATTATCAACAAACTTACACAAAAGGATGAGGATGTGTTGTAGATTAAAAATTGTTCAAGGCATCATCTTGGGGCAAAGGGCGTGGTCTCAAGGTCACTTCAAAGTTGACCAAAAATTACATTTTATTAAAATGTTCATAATTTTCTTACTATAAGGACTAGGATCATCAAATCTTGTCAGTTGATGCATCTAAGGACCTCATATCTTGTTGACTCAAAAGTAGGTCACGGTGACCTACTTTTTAAATTTTGCGGCCATTCTTTTTCAAAATGATTTAGGGGCATATTTTGAACAATTTAAGGCCTATGATCATCAAACTTTGTCAGTTGATGTATCTTGGGTCCTCAAAGTATGTCAACTAAAAAGTAGGTCACCTTGACCTACTTTTTTAATTTTATGGCTAATCTTGTTCAAAACAATTAAGGTCATTAATTCTAATACTGAGAAGCTTAAAATCATTAAATCTTGTAAGATAATGCATCTTGGGGCCATAAAACATATTTATTAAAAAGTAGGTCACAGTGACCTTTTTGAACTGTGCAGGCATTCAATTGCAAAACATTTTAGAGGCATAATTTGGACATTTTAAGGCCTATGATCATAAAACTTAAAGTTGATGCATCTTGGGTCCTCAAAAAATGTCAACTAAAAGTTGGTCACCGTCACCTACTTTTGAAATTTTATGACTATATTTAATATTTTCGGGTTCTATTTGGCTAAGAATCGTGAAAATTTGTCAGTTGATGTATCATGGGTCCTCGGAGTAGGTCGACTGAAAAGTAGGTCACTGTGACCAACTTTTTCAATTTATATGACTATAATTAAATATTTCGAGTACTAATTGGCTTAGAATCATCAAACTTTGTCAGTTGATGCATCTTGGGTCCTCGGAGTAAGTTGACTGAAATGTAGGTCACCATGACCTACTTTTGAAATTTTATTGCTTTATTTAAATAATTTTAGGTACTAATTGGCTTAGAATCACCAAAATTTGTCACTTGATGCATCTTGGGTCTGCAGAGTTAGTCGACTGAAAAGGAAGTCACTATGACCTATTTTTGAAATTTTATGGCTATATTCAAATATATCAGGTACTAATTGGCTTAGAATCGTCAAACTTTGTCAGTTGATGCATATTAGGTCCTCAAAGTATGTCATCTGAAAAGTAGGTCACTGTGACCTACTTCTGAAATTTTATGGTTATAATTGAATATTTTAGGTATTAATTGGCTTAGAGTCGTCAAACTTACTTAGTTGAAGCATCTTGGGTCCTCAGAGAATGACATGTGATAAGTAGGTCACCATGACCTACTCTTAGATACTAATTGGCTTAGAATCATCTTGGGTTCTCGGAGTGTTTCGTCTAAAATGTAGGTCATGATGACATACATTTGGAATTTCAAGGCTTTATCTAAATATACAGGATACTTAAAGGCTTCAAATAGAAGTGATAGGTTGTACAGTTTATCAGAAGATCAATTCAAGGCCCTTGGACCTCTTGTTGATCTAGCTGAGTTTGACCTTTATGAATTATCAGGTTAACGTTTTTGAAGTAGTCCTATTCCCAAGTAACTTCAAACCTAGCTGTGGTGACCAAATTTGCATGGATGATGCATGTAGGGATGCACACTACCAGACTTGCTTCCAGTGTTCGAAATTCAGAATTATTTTCTATGGGTCCAAAGGACCCACAGATAAAGGGACTACACGAGCCCTTCCAGGGCAGCGTAGGCCCAAAAATAAGACATGTACCATCAAATATTTGGGAAAAATAAACTTTTACGTATTGATGATCTCGGTAAGTTTAACGGTTCATATGAAATACTAGTATGTCAATTAATAAAGGATCTACAACTTGCAAGTATTAACAATATGAAACGGTAAAACATTAATCATCACAAGTCTTACTTGGTCATATATATGTGTTTATATTACTGTAAAGGTACTTTTCCTCAGAATTACAATTTCTGTTTTTAAAATCAGCGGGTAGAAAATTACACAGGTTTCTTAGATTGCCATGCATACATATAGCATAAATTTATATCCATGCAGGAAAAAAATTAAATCTTCAGGATTTATTTAAAATGTACATGAAAAGAAGAATTTATATGATCTTGATAAAAATAACAAGTTTTATCCAACTTAAGTCCAATTTCTTTTAAAGATGCTCATCAGTTAATTTGTTTAATATATCCAATTAAAATGCAGGAAAGATATGAAAGTTAATGTAAATTCATAAACCTATATACGTTAACTTCAATCGCAACTTCTTAGCCTTTCCAACAAAAAAGAAAAACAACGATGTATTTTTCCAAGCTCGACAGAAAGGTCCGGGAAGATGTGATTGACGTTAACTTGTTTCCCGGCAAATCATCGTCTGCCCAAAATTATTTCAAGGACCCATTTAATCATACTATTCGTGAGTCCTTCCATTTGTACGTCGATGCAGGGCCGACGGGCTGATGCTAATTTCGAACACTGCTTGCTTCAGGATATACTTGTCTGATTTTTGGAGGAAGGTCATTCCCAAGTTCATCATAATATGAAGTACTGTAGTTCACCAAATTTTCATGACACTTTATTTTCGCGAGATGGCCATTTGATATTTATAAGTGAGACATAATTTTCACGAACTCTGGTTATTATTCTATTTATTCTCTTGTACTACAAATATACCTGAGAATTAAATTTCCGCGAGCAGGTAGTCTCGCGTATTTATGTGAACATCAAGTTCTTGAAAATAAAAAGTGATCTACAGTACTGTAACTTTAAGCCTTCTGGTGACCAAACTGGCATGGTTAATGCATTTAGGGATGCACACTCTTTAGACCTGCATTAGATGCTGCATCAGATCTACATTTTCCAGATGAATTAATAGTTCAAAATTTTCAAAGCGGGACTTTTCGCAAGTACCAAGACCTAACTTGCATGCATGTTGTTATGTATTTACAGATGCACATTACAAGTGAGCTTATACATGTATTTGATTAACTTTATGTTTTAAGCATATGGGTGTGTTATGACAGCTAGAGTATAATAAGTAAACTAGAAAATGAGTAGTCTAACAGTAAAAGTATTGTTATACTGTAATTTTTTTTTTACTCACATATATTGCTATTCCTTGTCTCCGGTAGGAAGTGCCTTGTAGGAAATGCAGTAACAAGATAAATCTGAGGGATTAAGTTTCATTTGGTACAATGATATTTCTTAAATGCATATTTTTTTCCTAATTTCAATATAATATTATTTAAAGTGCATTCAATATTTAATATGGAGAAATAAATTTTTCTTCTTCTTTTTTTTGATAACCTGTACGTAACACAGGTGGGGATTGGGGGTGGGGGCCATTGAAAATTATTAGGAGTTGGTGTATATACAACTTTATATAGGATCATTGGCACTCTCACAAAAAACAATTGGTTCTTTATTTTACTACTGAAAAAAGAAGAAAAAATAACATTACTTTCTGACTTTTATCAGGATTTTAAAATTCAAAAAAGTTGCATTTTGTCAAGCACAAAAGTAATTCTTGGACATCATGAAATAGATTTATTCATTTCTTCCAGTGTATGAACCAAAAGAAGACTTTCTTGTCAATAAGCTGAGGACACTCCCAATGTTCCATGACAATGCCTATGCTGATGAAAATTTAGGAGAAGATGAAGGAGATTTTCTCATCATGCCGTATGTATATGTATGCAATTCTGCAATATTTACAGTATTCAGAATTATGAAATATGGGACTTGTTTGAAAATTATTGTAATACATTAACTGCATGTTTCCTCTATTACATAAAAATAATAGACCTTATATCAGTGTATGAATTTCCTGCCCCTACATATGCCTGGGTCTAGTAATTACAGGGTATTAATTCAGAAAAGTCAGGCTTTGGGCAGGCACATTTTATAAGGCGTTTGGACACTACTTGTAAAATAATCATTAAAAACAGAAATAGTAAGAATTATTAATTACATATTTAATTGTTGTATAAACGTTTACTGAAACTCAAAAAAAAAATTATTGCAAATCTAACATTTGTAAGAAAATGCTAAGAAGAAGTTCTGACATCAGTCCATGTAAGCTGGTTGTTTTTTGTGTAAACATAATTATAAATTCATGGAAGTCAATAAGAAAAAGGAACTTTCCAGTAAGTGAGCTTATATTAGGCCTAACAAAATGTTAGTTTGAAGAATCTCAAGGCTATTTGAACGTGCTTATGTTGACATTGATTTCCAGTAAATTAAATATATTTAAAAAGTATATAAAAAATTCTTTTTGAAATGAACATGGAACATAGTTTTTAACAACATGTATTCAATCAATGATTTTTATCTCCTTCAGTGTTAATTTTTTTTCTTTAATAATTTGAATTTCTGCCTTTTATGCACAAAGGTTTATATATTTTCAGCAAATTTTTAGTGAAATTGGAGTCAACGAAATAATTTTACATAACTATCCGTAATTCATCTTTGTTAGGAAAACATTAGAAAAAATAATGTTAAACAGTTGTTAGAAAATTTTGCTAAACAGTAGTTAGAAAAAGTAACTCCAAAGCTCATCCAGTCAGTTTGAAGGGAACATTAAGTCCATGACTTATAAAACCCTTTTCACTTATATTTCTTCTGAAGTCATGGACTGATGTATGGAGAAATGGAGGACCTAAATAGGTGGGTATGTACATGTAAACCTTGTTTGTCACTCACAACTGTTTGGAATGGCTACTAGCAAGTTCTCAGTATTGCCCCTTTGTAACTTCAGTATATCTAATGGTAATTTTGGCTGTATTAATTCTCTCACTCATTATAGTATTGAACACACGGTTGTTGATATAAGATGTTTCAATAGGCTTGGCATTCTGCACGAAAATGGTAGGATGAAGACATTTGGCCGTGCTTGTTCTTCACAGAAGGATATATTTAAAGCATGCAATTATGCTTCAATAGATATGTTGTGAATTTATTTTAAAAGAGTGTCACTTTGTTCCCTGGGATAAATGTATATACATTGTTAAGTTTGGAAGAGGAAAAGTTTAGCATATATTTGATGTTGATATGGAGGCCAAAAGATTGAAGGTCAGGCTCTTGGAATCTTAAAGAAAATGCCATTTATTTGACTTCATAAAGGGCATTATTCTTGTACTAATTGATTCTATGAGCCAATAAGTACAGCATGTTTATATTACTGTGAACAAAAAATGTCAGTAGTAAAGTCTATATTCTCAGTTTAGTTTTTTTTCATAGTTATCCACGTACCGGTAATTTCAATAGAAAATGCAGAAAATTGCCTGGTATTTATACAGTGGTATTTTAAGCAAAAGAAATAGACGGAAATTTGAGAAAGCATATATATTTTAGGTTTTACTGGTCACAATTATCAGTGCAAAATGTTTTGGATACTGTATAAGAAGAAGTACTAGTAATAAGTATGTAGTTATTTTGTCTGTCTACTTACAGGGCTTCAAGAAAACAAGAGAAAAAAAAATGTTGATTTGGGGTTAGAAAGACGAAACATAATGATGAGATTAATAGTGTCTTGTTTTCAATGAAAGTATGAAATAGAATAAAGAAGCAGCCAGTTGACAACAGCTGTATAAAAAAAAAAAAAAAAAAAAAAAAAAAAAAAGGTTGCCATAAATGTAGATAGGGTAGTGAATGTTGTCTGAATGTAATCAAAAGAAAGAAAAAAGAAAATTGTTCATTCTTGCTATTACATTTGGAATTGGTGTTTTCCTTCATGGTGTCCTTGTTTATTTTTGAAAATTGTTATTGTAATGTTACCGGTAAATGACTTTTAATATTGAAGACTTTTAAATTGTGAAATTTTCATTTTGGTGATCTGTCCTTCCCTTTGTTTCTTCATATGTTTCATATTTCTCAATCTAATTAAAATTAGATGTTAGATCCGCTCGCATACTAGCTACACTAACATTAGTGTAGCGAGTATCTAACATCTAATTTTAATTAGATTGCATATTTCTAAGTATAGAATTTCCTAATTTTACTGACACTTTATAGTACGTATTTCATGTTGTATAAACCTAGAATACGATAAATATTAGCTTATTTTTCTGCACTCTTGTTAAGAACCCTTTATACACTAATGAAAAATGTTTTTTGGACATTAAGAAAATTATATAAAGGTGTAATTATTGAATCTATCTTTTTCATTTTCAATGTAGGGAACTTGCCACTTACCCTCAGGAAAAAAAAATTCAAAGACAACATGGTATTGTTTAACAGAAATCACTGTTGCTTATTAAAGGCTGATAAACATTATAAAGCTTGTCTTATAAGTCATGGAATTTAAGTTCTAGCCTTACCGTGTGTACACCCCTAATACACATTTTTCGAGCCTTACAAGTCTGAGCTATGAATAAAGCACTACCCTATTTCTTAATACAAGACTTAGCTGACATTTTCTTCTTAGCCAGTGAAAACTATTTGCCCAAGTGTCCATCTATTTTTAGCTCACCTGAGCTGAAAGCTCAAGTGAGCTTTTCTGATTACCCGTTGTCCATCGTCTGTCCATCCATCCGTCTGTCCTTCTGTAAACTTTTCACATTTTCAACTTCAACAAGATAATCAAGAAAAGACAAAAATAGGGTGGGGTCATTAAAAAATCTTCTTCTCAAGAACCACTTGGCTAGAAAAGCTGAAACTTATGTGGAAGCATCCTGGGGTAGTGTAGATTCTAAATTGTTCAAATCATGACCCCCGAGGGTAGGGCGGGGCCACAATAGGGAATCCAAATTTTACATTGAAATATATAAGAAAAATCTTTAAAAATCTTCTTCTCAAGAACCTGACTGGGCCAGAAAAGCTGAAACTTATCTGGAAGCATCCTTGGGTAGTGTAGATTCTAAATTGTTCAAATCATGACCCCTGGGGGTAGGGCGGGACCACAATAGGGAATCCAAGTTTTACATTGAAATATGTAAGGAAAATCTTTAAAATCTTCTTCTCAAGAACCACTGGGCCAAAAAAGCTGAAACTTAAGGCAAAGCATTCTCAGGTAGTGTAGATTTTAAATTGTTGAAATCAGGACCCCCGGGGATAGTGCGGGGCCACAATAGGGAATCCAAGAGCAACTGGATCAGAAAAGCTGAAACTTATGTGGAAGCATCCTGGGGTAGTGTAGATTCTAAATTGTTCAAATCATGACCCCTGGGGGTAGGGCAGGGCCACAATAGGTATTACAAGGGGTGAAATCTGGTATAGAACAGCATGTCCAAAGTTACTCAGGTGAGCGATGTGGCCCATGGGCCTCATGTTTTATCAAACCACACACGTGGGTAGATTGAAGTGAATACAAAGTTGTTTTTTCCAAATGAAATAATGAATGTATCCACAAATGTTTCTGTTCTGCTCTCCCTCTTTTTAAGAAGTGTGAATGCATTGGTCAGTAAAATAATTACAATGGCTTAGTAACATTGTCTTCTATTTTAATGATTGAATGCACTGTTTAGGGCTGAAAAATTTATGGAAATGTTTTTTTATTATCTTGTTAGTCTTTGCCTTAGCGTGTAGACATGTGTAATGGCTTGGGCCATGGATATGGGCCTGGGTAGCACAATTGGTAGAGCACCTAGTGATGCAGGGGTCCCGGGTTTGATTCCCAGTCCAGCCATACATTTTCTCCTTTCCTGTTACAGATTTAGTGTTGTTGACAACCCCTGGACTTCCAGGTGAAAGTTTTGCCAGGGGCAAATAAGAACTTAGGTTGTGTCTTTGAGGGCGAAGACAATTTAAGGAGGGAGGAATGTAATGGTTTGGGCCATGAAGCTCAATTGGTAGAGCACCTGATTAGTGATGCAGGGGTCCCAGGTTCCAACCATATATTTTCTCCTTTCCTGTTACACATGAGAGCATACAACCTGCAAAAATGTCAGGTTTTAGACTTGTAAGGCAAGTTTTATCATGTATACCAGACCTAAAACACATGCAAGTAAAGTGTTCAGTGGCCTAATAAGCTTGAAATAATAACAAATAGAGTAAAATGTTGTAGATTTCAAATATTTCATTTTATATTTAAGGGCAGATCAACTAACTGCAAAAAAATACAATGGAATTAGAAGTCTTGAGTGTGCAATGTATAAGGGGTCCTTAACTGAAAACTACATTACAGTATACTTAGAAATTCTTGATAAAATGACAGTTACTAAAAATAGAATTCATTTTATGTCATATTTTTATAACTTTTTAAATGAAATTCAAATTTGTATATAAATGCATTTTTTTGTGTCAGTTGCAGAGCAGCTGGCAGACATAGGGTTTCTTGTCTGCTATCTGTCTTCAAGTTATTTGTCAGTGTTTCTAACAGAGAGATGAGATCACATAAAGCTCATGATCACCTGCAGGCCAAACATGTGTTTCTTGAACTCTGAACTGAAGGTCATGATCAAACCTTTAAATCAATTTAGGGTCAAGGTCATGAGAAGGGAGCAATATCAGCTTGGAATTTGCCAACTCCCAAAGCATTGTGTTTTACAGATATTCCAGCTTCTAAGTGTGATTATAAATAGTTTTGCCCTAGTGATGTTGTGTTTTGTGTCAATGTGATGTCATGCTAGCATAAAGATACTGATAAATTAATTGCAGTAATTGTACTCTACAAACAGCAAGTCACAGGTACTTTATGTAGACTTTCAGGTTGGGTTAACACTTTTCAAGGAATTTTCATTTTCATTTGCCTGTACATATTAATAATTTTTTTTATTCTAATGACACTGAGAGCCAGAATTTAGAAAAGGTCATGTAAAACTTATATGACTGGGCAAATTTATGTTAGTGAAAATTTCACAGAATTGGTAATACTGTAGTAATCCTCGTGTACATTTATTCCTAACTTACTCAGCACAAATCTTCAATCTGGCCTGCTACAGTAAATATAACTGAAGTAGGTGTGATCGTTAAAACATGTAAATTAATATTATATATATTTTCAAATTATTTAACAATCTACTAAGACATTAATGGGTGTGAGTGTAAAATTTTTCATGCATATTATATAGTTCTGTAGATCTATATGAGATTCCTTCTAAATGAGTGTTGATTATAATAGATACAATAACTGCAGTAAAAGTGTAAGATTTCACTGAACATGCAAAAACTTTGTGGGGTTTAAATTTTTGTCTCTCTCTTTTTTTTTTTTTTTTTTTTTTTTTTTTTGGCCAGTGGGGATTTTGTTGGGGCATATAATTTTGTGTTTTTCAAAAAGTTAGAACAAGTAAACATGCATTTAAAAAATATTCATTTTGAAAAACTAAAATACAAATCGATTTATCAGATGAAATGATTACCGGTGAATTTCCTTAGTATTTATCTGGTATAAGGCTGTCATGGTTTCCCGAAATAATCAAAAACCGTGGTCCAAGTTGTTCGGTTCATTTTCGGTTCCAATTTTCCGAATTTCGGTTCAGCTCTTGTTTATATGTCAATTATTGTAATTGTGTTTGTGCCAATAAATATTTGTATTTGGCAATGTATTTGTATATTAGAATATGTTTTAAACAAAAAATGGCATTGAAATCAAAAGAAAGATGACGATAACAGTGATAAATAAACATGACACTAAAATCTGCTTAATTTCGTGACAAAACACTTGTCACAAAAGGATTAGTTAATTATTATCAATTAGCAAGAATGGTCAGGTTGTAGCTAATAGTCAGCCTAGAAGTGTTAAACACCAATATCAAAATGTTAACATGGTTAGGACTTGTTTTCAAGGTGAACTTAATGTAGCAAATAAAGATTTTTCATGTTAAATTCATGAAATTAAGGTTTAAAATAGATGAAAATAACCAAAACGAAAAACCCGAAACTGAACCGAAAATTTACAGAACTGACCCGACTCAAAAAATTTTGGAACCGTGACAGCCCTAATCTGGTATAATGATTTTTAATACTTTTCCTAAGAGATTGTCCAATTAGCCATTCACAATAACTTTATTTTACTAGACAGTAATTTTTAATAAGGGTACCCTTACTGTTGTGTCTATTGCACGGGTATTAAAGTTATAGATATATATGATTCTAGGTTTTCTTGTCTCCTGTAATTATAATATTAATAATGTTCAAATGTTCTACATATGTTGCACTAAAAATTAAACCCTGAAAAATATATTAAGTTTAATATTATTTAAACAGAACCAACATTAAGTTGAGATATCAGATAATAATGATTACTTTGTGTGTGTAAATGGTTTATTTGATGATGTTCATTGGAACTTCTTGTGTAACCATGATTAATTTGAATACAGACCCAAAGAATATATGGGTGTTAAATCAAGGTAAGTTTTAATTGTTATGTCTTTGCCAAAATTGAAATTGTTTATTTTGTGTTTTGAGTTTATTCCAATGAGAGAGTTCTAAAGGGTTTTGGAAGATCCCAAATTGTTTGCTTGCATGTTAATTTGTTTAAAGGTTCATGCTATAATGAGTATTTATTTATTTTATTTTTTTATAAAAGTAAGAGAATTTTGTCTTCTAACTATTTACTTGTGTTAAATTGCCAGGATGTGATATCATAACAGGTTGATAGAACATTCAGAAATGTTTTATCTTTATTTATCTGCCATTTGAGTACTTCACTGTTTTAAAGCTTTATATTTGCTGCAGTCAGGGAAGTAAGAATTGAACAATAGATCCACATAGTAAAAAATGATAGAAATTGTAAATTCAAAATAGAAAGAGAATTGATTTCTTAGGAAACCTGAAACCATGAATTAAAGCTGTATATAGAATCACATAATTTTTGTGCAATGAATTTGTTTATTAGTCTGGAGAGGGGCCATAAAAGTGTGATAGAGAAATATAGAAAAAAATGTTTTAAGTTTCACTTCATGAGATCAAATTATATAAAAATTATGTGCTTGTCCTATAGAATCGAGGGGAAAGGTCAAGCCTCAATTTAGATAACATTGCATTTCTTCATAAGAAAAATGAAAAGCCAGTGTGAGCTTCAGTATGTCCTACTGGTTTTGTTGTCTGTATTATGTAGTCACCAGAGAGGGAGAAGAGTGATGTACAGAATATTGGAATATAAACCACTACTGGACTCTAGCAACATGATGATGACCGACTGGGGGAAGATTGCCTCAGACATTCATGTGAGTCATACAAAGGCAGCATTACCTCAGACTTATCTGTGAGTCACACTTAGACAGCATTGCCTCATACATATCTGTGAGTCACACTTAGGCAGCATTGCCTCATACATATCTGTGAGTCACACTTAGACAGCATTGCCTCATACATATATGTGAGTCACACTTAGGCAGCATTGCCTCATACATATCTGTGAGTCACACTTAGACAGCATTGCCTCATACATATCTGTGAGTCACACTTAGACAGCATTGCCTCAGACATACATGTGAGTCACACTTAGGCAGCATTGCCTCATACATATCTGTGAGTCACACTTAGGCAGCATTGCCTCAGACATATCTGTGAGTCACACTTAGACAGCATTGCCTCAGACATACCTGTGAGTCACACTTAGACAGCATTGCCTCATACATATCTGTGAGTCACACTTAGGCAGCATTGCCTCAGACATATCTGTGAGTCACACTTAGGCAGCATTGCCTCAGACATATCTGTGAGTCACACTTAGACAGCATTGCCTCATACATATCTGTGAGTCACACTTAGGCAGCATTGCCTCAGACATATCTGTGAGTCACACTTAGACAGCATTGCCTCAGACATACATGTGAGTCACACTTAGGCAGCATTGCCTCAGACATATCTGTGAGTCACACTTAGGCAGCATTGCCTCAGACATATCTGTGAGTCACACTTAGACAGCATTGCCTCATACATATCTGTGAGTCACACTTAGGCAGCATTGCCTCAGACATATCTGTGAGTCACACTTAGACAGCATTGCCTCAGACATACATGTGAGTCACACTTAGGCAGCATTGCCTCATACATATCTGTGAGTCACACTTAGGCAGCATTGCCTCAGACATATCTGTGAGTCACACTTAGACAGCATTGCCTCAGACATATCTGTGAGTCACACTTAGACAGCATTGCCTCATACATATCTGTGAGTCACACTTAGGCAGCATTGCCTCAGACATATCTGTGAGTCACACTTAGGCAGCATTGCCTCAGACATATCTGTGAATCACACTTAGACAGCATTGCCTCAGACATATCTGTGAGTCACACTTAGGCAGCATTGCCTCAGACATATCTGTGAGTCACACTTAGGCAGCATTGCCTCAGACATATCTGTGAATCACACTTAGACAGCATTGCCTCATACATATCTGTGAGTCACACTTAGACAGCATTGCCTTAGACATACATGTGAGTCACACTTAGGCAGCATTACCTCAGACATACCTGTGAGTCACACTTAGACAGCATTGCCTCATACATATCTGTGAGTCACACTTAGGCAGCATTGCCTCACACATACCTGTGAGTCACACTTAGACAGCATTGCCTCATACATATATCTGTGAGTCACACTTAGGCAGCATTGCCTAACACATATCTATGAGTCACACTTAGGCAGCATTGCCTTAGACATATCTGTGAGTCACACTTAGACAGCATTGCCTCATACATATCTGTGAGTCACACATAGACAGCATTGCCGCATACATATCTGTGCATCACACTTAGACAGCATTGCCTCATACATATCTGTGAGTCACACTTAGACAGCATTGCCTCAGACATACCTGTGAGTCACACGTAGACAGCATTGCCTCAGACATACCTGTGAGTCACACTTAGATATCATTGCCTCAGACATACTGTAAATGTACATAAATTAACACACTCAAAATTAAGTACAATCCTTCTTTTACATTGATAGTGCAATCATAAATTAGATGGACAGTATTTGAATTTTGAAAATAAGTATTGTCCTGTAGTTTAAATCGCATATTAGCTACCATGTACATAAATTAGCAGATATGAAGCAGTGTAAAAGGTGCTAAAATATCATCACTGCTAAAATAAGTAATTTACAGTTAGCTGCAATAATATAGCCCTCTCCGATTTTTTTTTTTTTGGGGGGGGGGGGGGGGGAGAGGGCTACAACTCCTTAGGATCTCCGTAATGGTGCAAGTGCAGGAGTGATTCACTCCTGCACTGATTTTGGCTCAAATTTTCAGCAAGTGGCAATTTTATTAATGTATCTTTAGTTACCTGAACTTATAAAATGTAGTTATGCAAGACCTGAATTTATCCAAAAATATACAGAACAATCCATATATAGTTATTTTTCGTGTATGTCAACATCACAACTTGAATTTATCCGCCATGTTTACTGACCTTGATCCATTTTATTTTGGGACTACCAATGAGAATTTGGGATCTAGGGAGCGGATCTATTTAGGATTTTCCTTATTTTAAGCATAAATATCATTGTTCATGGAATGCTTTTATTTATCGATGGTTAGTGATACCATACAACACAAAAATTTATCAATACCGACATTTACTTTATTAAGTGATTCTAAATTTCAAGCGCAAGTCTCAGTTCATCACACAAGAACTGTCATGGCTGCTGAGGAGAATGATCAGTAAACACACAGATTTATTTTACATGGTTTTTGAGTATAAAGGGCTATGTTGTTGACAGTGAATGAAATTTCTGTCTTACTGGAAGTAAGTTGAATGTTAAAATAATTTATTTTGCCTGCAGTCGGCCGTATCTAAAAAATGTATTTGCACCATTACGGAGAAGCAGTGGAATTGTAGCCCTCTCCTGAAAATATCAGATTAAAAAAATCGGAGAGGGCTACATTATTGCAGCTAATTTACTATATATGTGAGAGACTGCAACACAAGCAGTGTTGCCTCCAGACATACATGTGAGTAATGCACACATATGAGTTGCACACTGAGCAATGCCTCAGTAATGTAGCAAGTCATACAGAAGGAGGATTGTCTTGGATTATATCAGTCACACTCAGGCAGCATTGACTCAGACATACATGTAAGACGCACACAGGCAGTATTGCCTCCATACAAAAATGTGCTTCAGACATAATGCACGTCATACACAGGAAGCATTGCCTCAGACATACAAAGTCGTAATTCATACTTAACCAGCATTGCCTCAGACATATACATGTATGTGAATCCCATATTGGAAGCATGTTTGTTAGTCACATACATCCAGCACTACCTGAGATATACATACAGCATTGGCCCATGGAAGTATTCATGTGAGTTATACATAGGAATCATTGCAAGTGCATGCAAGTCATACACAAAGAGCATTGCCTCAAATGTACTATTTGGAACCCACCGAAAACATTTTCTAAGACTTTCATGTGAGTTTCACATTTATAAGCAGCATAGCCATAAACATAACAGTTGATTTGCACAATATTTCCTCAGACATACCAGTACATTTGAGACAAAAGCATATACTTTTCAATCACAGTTTTGCCTCAGACATACTTGTGAGTATGTCACAAACAGTATTGTTTCAGACATATATGCAAGTCAGGCACTGGAAGCATTCTTGTCCAAAAAAAAAAGAACTGTAAAAAAAATTTATTTTTCAAAGCACATTGGACAGTAAATGTTAAGGATTAGAAATTTAGAAAACCTAATTTAATTTGACATGTATTGCTGTTTAACAAGATTCTCCCTGAATGTCTTCAACAATATGTTACATTTGTCAGTGAATGATCTTTCTGTTTTTCAGGAACATTATGACTGTTATGATGGATTTGTTGTGCTACATGGGACTGATACAATGGCATACACAGCCTCAGCTTTGTCTTTCATGTGTGAGAACCTTGGCAAGCCTATCATACTTACAGGATCTCAGGTATATCATCAGATGGTCATTTAGCAGTTTTGAACAAGTATTACCCAGCTGCCAAATAAGTTTCTTTGGGACCAAACAAACAGGTTGTCTGACCAAGGATCAGAAGATATTATGCTCAGTAAAATTGTCAGTAAAAATGCTATCTGAAAGATGTCTTACATCCAGTACAGAATGAATTGTTAGTGATTTTCAATTTTAGTGACCTCAACACACTTGCCAATACTGTACACAGGGTAATTATCACCTTTAGTTATTTTTACCCTATACCCGGTACACTGTACACACATGTCTCATATGACATCAAAAAGTTCGAGCTTTTTAATTAAAGAGATGGACATAAGTATAACAGTGCTTAATTGACCATTTTTGGACCCTGAACACTTTCAGTTGGGAATTTTATATTACAAAAAGTGGCAAAATTTGAAAGTATTGACATTTTATTATAAGTACTGTGGAATAATGACAAATTGTAGGCTTATCTTTATGTGATCTCGTAATTCAAGATTGATTATGAAAAGCACTGAAAAATTTTATCTGCTTGTCATTTGAAAATTTCTCCTAATTTGGGGGAAAAAAAAATCATTTTCAATCGGAACAGGGTTCTTTTACCAGACCTGCATGCGTAACATATTTAGCCCCTAGTTCACTTACCACTAATGAAGCCCTTTGAGACAACTCTAAAATAAATGAATTTCCTTTCATTTGTTTTACTGTAAATGTGTATGTAAATATTACATCTTACAGATTCCCATTTTTGAAGTATTCAAGCAACTTGTTTTACTGTAATCAAATATGTACACAAGTATTATATCTTACAGATTCCCATTTTTGAAGTCAGAAGTGATGGAAGGGACAACTTTTTATCTTCCCTTATATTTGCTGGATTGTACACTATACCAGAGGTAAATATTCAGTGTGCTGAAAATTTTGTACATGCTTATCTTTCTTACAGATTTACAGGATCTACATGTAGGAGCTTCAAATTCAGTGTTATGTGATTTTATATTAGCAGATTTATAACATGTATTTACAAAATGTAAGCTTAGTTTTCACATGAACAGAATTATAGTACATGTATTCTGATGTGGGTTAATCTGGAGGTTTCCCATCTGATATATGTTATGACTGTTTTTATGTACAGTTGTTAGGGATGCATAATTTTATTGGTGTACTGGTATATATATCATGATTTTTTATTGCACGATACTTATCGTGATATGGAGACTAAAATTCCAGTATTATGTATGCAATTATAAATTTGGGAAATATTTAATTTTTTGTGTAAACTTTTGAATTACAATTACCAGAATTGTTAAAAAAAAATGTTTTAAAAAGTTAAAAACAGCATCCTTGCATCCAAATATGCTTTATTGATATATAAATAAAAATGGAAAAGTTGAAGATATGTTATTACACCATATTTGTTCGAAAAATTAAGGGAATTCATGTAAATAAGTAGTAAAATTTGCATGTGAAAATACCATTATATTTTTGGGAAAATTGTGATATATCATGATACAAAAATTTTGGGGATACCCAACCCTCTAATACTTTGTATTGTAATTTAAGACAACATCTTATCAAACTTTCAAATGTTGTTTTTGGATGAGAGGTCGGATTGACATAAAAGGGGCACTGTATGTAATTCTTGATACACTTACTTGTAAAGATTTATTGGAGAATTTGTTTCAGGTTTTGGTGTGTTTTGACAACAAGATCCTGCGAGGAAATAGAACAATAAAAAATGATGCGGGAAGCTTTGCAGCATTTATATCTCCAAATCTGCCGCCTATAGCCACATTAGAGATTCATATTCAAGGTAAAATAGTACTGTAAACTACAGTCATAATTGGCTCTAGCATAAGCTCCTACATACATGACAAATAAGCTGTGCATATTTAGATTTGAATAAAATTTGAATGTGTTGTGTCAGATTTAAACACAATCAGTTCTTAAATAATTGATAAAAACTTAGGAATAAGTAATTGAAAGATCTTTTCCCCTCTTTTGAAGGGCATGTATTGGACTCCAAATCCATTCAAAAAATGTGAATTTTCCTATGCCAAATGATTGGTTTTACTAATTGAAAGTTGTCTAAACAATGGGTCTTTTGGATGGGAGCATAAAACCAAGCCCTTTCCTAATAAGGGTAGGCATTGACATGATAAAGAATCCTCACTATACATATCATAGGTCTGAATAAATCCCAGTTTGGCACTTTACCTTTAGCTGATGATCTCTAGATATGATGGAAAAGTTTTCAATGTATAAAACTACATGCTATCAATCAAACTTTCCTCAACATTGACGATGCCTTTTAAACTGGAGGAGACTTAGACTTCATATTTGATCAAAATAATGTCAAGGTCATGTTTTTATGTCTGGTCAAAGTCTTACTTAGAGGTTAAAAAAAATTCAAGATATTCCACCATAAGAATTTCCTCCCAACTTAGAGAATTTTTGATGACTTTCCTTTAAGCCTTTGTATATAAAAAAATAAGTTATCAATTTTACACAAGAACAAAATGATTTGCTCATACAAGAGAAAGAATTCACCAAGTAAAGATTTGACAGCTTTATAGACATGGGATTAATCTGTTGTTAGTGGATTGGTCTGCAGTGTTCAGAAGTACAGGGACAGAGAAGTTTCGAGTCCACACCAACATGTGTCAGAACGTCGGACTGCTGCGAATGTTTCCCGGCATTACAACTCAAACTGTATGTACTTAGCTGTATTACAAGAAAAGTAGAGTTAATTGCACATCATCTATCTTATTGTCTGTATATCTATTATTTGTTAAAGCATGAGAGGTAGCACTTTGATAGGTGTGTATTTATGCTTTCATTCAGGTCCGTGCATTCCTTCAGCCCCCAATGCAAGGAGTTGTCTTACAGACATATGGAGCAGGAAATGCCCCTGACAATAGACCTGACTTACTCTCAGTCCTAAAAGAGGCCTCCAACATAGGTGTAATAATCCTTAATATAACTCAGTGCACCAAGGGTTGTGTGATGACTTCATATGCTACAGGAAAGGTAAAATTATATGACATGTAATCTTCCTACATTAAGATGTCTGCTTTCTTTAGAACATATAGAAAGAATTATATACATTTTTTCACATTTAACTATATTTAGGCTTTAGAGGATGCTGGTGTTATTTGTGGGGGAGACATGACCCCCGAGGCTGCATTGACCAAACTGAGTTATGTCCTGAGTAAAGAGACATGGACACTAGATAAAAAACGTAAAGTGAGTTAACAGTCTGTTTCTGTTGCGAGACTATTATTTGAAAAGGTTGCCTGACCATGCTTCTTGGTAATTGAACCAAAAACAAAATGGATATTACATTTATCAACAACACATATTCTTAAGCTTGATGATGTAAATAGAAATTTGAGTACTTAGTAGCTTTGTTTCCTAATTTCAGTTTGTAAAGAGGAATCTCCGTGGGGAATTGACAGTTGTAGCCAAAGAGAACATCACTATTCTGGACTTTGAGTTAATTGAGAGTGTGGCCCGGGCACTAAGTGTCAGTAGTACTGAGGTAAAGTAATCTTGTTATCAATCATTTTATATATCATTTGGATTAAAGGAAAAAGAACCAAACAGGGACCACCAAAAACAAATATAAAGTTCTTGTGTTTTGAAGATCATTTATGCTCCTCTTTCAAAAGCACTGAAAGTTCATATCCACCATGATCATGCTTAATCCAATTCAAGAAAATATTTGCATTTAATGAACTACTGGGTAAAGATATATTTTTGTCATTATAGGAAGTGAAGAAATTGAGGGATGCATTATATCCCAGCTTGATGTGTGCAGCTGCCCAAACTGGTGATAATCAGGCTCTTGAAAAATTACGGGAGTTGGTGAGTTTGGAAGTTGTATTTGGCACAGATTCAAATTCTGGAAAAATTCTCATATTTTATCAGAGAAATGAATTTTTAAGTTGCTTATAATTTTCAACATGAATTTTAATGATATTTGTATATTTGATGATAGATTTAGATACTACTCACTGATACTTTTATTAGTATTTAATATTTTAATATGCTAAGGGAGGTAACTTGTCCTCGCACAATCAAGATGGTAGAACAGCCTTGCATGTAGCCAGTCGAGAAGGTCATGTGAGTACTGTTCAGTACTTGCTGCATCAGGGAGCCTCTGTACATCTAAAAGACTCCAATGGTTTCACTCCTCTTCATGACGCCATAATGAGAAAGCACATCAGTATTATTAGACTGCTGGTAAAAACAGGAGCCATATTGACTTTGAAGCCTATAGCTCTAGCCATGGAGCTTTGCTGGTATGATCAAGGATGTAGCATAAATATTAAAATAGATTACTAACCATTTTGCAATGGATGTCTAATCTGATACTATCGTTTTAGTGCTGCTGCATCAGAGGATATAGAAACACTGCAGGCTTATCGAACTGCGGGGGCAAACTTAAACGAATGTGACTATGACAAAAGGACCCCACTCCATGTTGTAAGTAATATATTCAACCAAACCTACAAGTAAAATTTTTTTGAAAAGTGGACCCATGATTATCATTCTGATTGGAAATGGATTCAACATATACAAATTTAATGTTCAGCCATACGGAAAGAAAGGAGAATTATTTGATTAATAAACTCTAAATTCTCACTTTCTTTGTAGGCTGTAGATACTGGATGCGAGCGTTCCGTGCACTTTCTGTTAGATAATGGAGCTAGCTGGAGTTTGGAGGACATATTTGGAAACACAGCTATTGACTGTGCCAAGAAAAGGAATTTTACAGAAATCATTGAACTTATTGAAGCAAAACAACGAGAACTCTCTGTTAATGAAAATGGGACACAATAACAACAGGAGACTGTTTCCTCATTGTTACTTCTTTCCTATTGACCAGTATAATGTTTTTACATGACTTTTAAGTGCTAATTCATACATGTATTAGAATATGCAGTGGTTGTGCATTGAAAATTCCCATCAAAAAGTCCATTTGAATGTGTGTCAGGGTATGTGTAATTATGTCAGTAATATATTGTATGCAAGGAATTGACATCGAATTGAAACTTTTATCTTTCATTAATTCATTATATTTATTTCCATTAACCGGTATATTTTGCAGTTTGTTTATATCTTCAAAAGATGTCCATTTTATTTGTGTTTTTATTTGATGAGTATAGTGCTTTTTGCAATTCTTTTTAAGAGACGGAGGCTTAATCTCATAGTAACCTGTGCCAATTAACCTTTTATTTAGTAGTTTGTATTTACATTTATTTCATTACTCAGTGAATATATATATATATATATATATATATATATATATATATATATATATATATATATATATATATATATATATATATATATATATATATATAGGGTATTACTTGTATCTCAAAGGAGATGTATGTTTATTACTACAAAAAAAAAAAATGTCTCGATCTAATTAAATTATACTGTAGTGTTGCCTGTTATGTTAATAAGATTTACTGTAGCATATTGCCTTATATTTAATCAATATATTGATTTATTTATTAAAATATTAATATATATGTAAATAATTTGAGATAAACATCTACTATTGATTTTGTATCACTAAATACATCTCTGTCTTGAATATGGGATACATGTATTCAGTAAGCTACTGGACTTAGCTTATTGAAAAATGAAAATAAGAATAAAGGGGATGCATTTGTGATATAGTTTTTACAATCCCTTCATATCCAGGGAGTTTAAGTAATGAAGAAAGTCATGTTTATCTACAAATATTTTTCCAGCAAATCAAACTTTAATTGCACTGTTATAAAAATGCTGTCTATCAACTATAACTTTTTTTTTTATCATTTGGAAATTACTTGGCTGCAATGGCATCATGCTTTTCACATTATGTTGGAATAAAGTTCATCTTAATTACATCTTAGTTTCCCAAAGTATTGTCACTGGTTGACGTGTGATGTACATGTAGCAAAGCTTTACGATACAGCTGATATTAACCTGACATAGGTGAAGTGGTCTGTTTGTTTGTATATTTGTCCCATCTCCTCTTCTTTTTCCACCTGTGCTTCAGGGTTTGAAGTGTTGTGACTGCTAATGTCTTTAATTAATAATATTAAACCAATATTTTGTGGTGAAATCAGGGATTTGGGGAAAAGAAATTGGTCTCAGGTTAATGTTCTCAAATTTCACCAAAACATTTGTTAATTTGCACATACAGGGCTGAAAATGATTTTGTCTACAAAGGGCTGCATAAGTTAGTAGTCCCTTGTCAGAATTTGGGATAAGTACAACTATTACAGTCAAAGAACTAAGATAAAGTACATATACACAGAGTTAAGATGAGTACTAGTATTAATAGGGAGAGATAGATAGGTCTGTAGAGAGTCTCCCTTCTCTACATAGTGAACAAATGCAGTGGTGTCTTAAGAGTGTTTTTATGCTGTTTACATTGAATCATTTTTTTTTTATGTGGAAAAGTTTCTAGAATATATCCTATCTTTATCCCAAGTATTTCTGAATTATGTTTGTTCAAGTATATAACTCGGTACTGCCCGGTATATATACTGGTACTTTATTGTTATTTTAAGTAGATATAAATTTTTTCTTCAATCTTTGGTTTGGATGGGGCCATAGCAGGTGTCCCAAGTTGTTGAATATTTAATGGAAACAATATATAGAAAATTTGCTTTGTCCTTTAAGTTTGTTATACTGTAAACAGGGTTATTTTCGCCCTTTCACACTTGCGAACAAATTTGCCCAGTTTTAATTTTGCCAAGTCTTAGTTTTGTTTAAGAAATTATTTTTTTTTTCTTTGAATTCGCCCCATCTTTAATTTTCCCACTCATGCCTAGGGTGAAGGGGCGAAAATAAAAAGGGGGTGAAAATTTCCCTGTATACAGTAGTGAAACATGTTTTTATGTGACACAAAAGTGGATAAAATAAAGAAATCAGAATGTGTCTGTAGATATTTAATTAAATATGTTGATTTTGGATAATTTTTTTTTTTAATAGTTTTTTTTTTCTTTTTTTGGTTTTAATTTTGTTTGAATATGTTTACTAATGCTTATATTCAAATAAATTTGTTAAATCTTGTTTTTTGGTACTTGTTTGTTATAGGCCTACTACATGAACATAGGAATTTATGTCGTTGAATTTTCTTACATGTAAGAGCTTGTTATCTCGAACTCAATGGGACCAAGAAAAAACTTTAGATATCCTAAGGTTTGAGATATTGAGGCTAAAATACAATAAGAAAATAGTGGTTGGGACTTTCAAATCACTTGAACATATCCATTGTAATCGACTGTACATGTTTTGTTTCCCACTCCAGCTAAAAATGCAGTACTTTTATACTTCAATCTTTTTGACAGTTTTAGTACACTTATTATAAGTTTAACTCCCTTTGAATTGAACTCGGATCTTGTTTCATCATAATTATCAGAATTTTATCTTTTGTATAATTTGTCATCAAACCTTGACTGTTGATGTGAAATTAGACAGATGTAACATTTTTCAAAAGTGAGTCACAGATATCAGTTTCTTAGATAACCTTATGGTGCACTTAAAACATTATTATTATATTATTATTTGCAACTTATGAAGTGTATGCCTAATAAGGTTTCATGCAAGATTGTTTTAAGTTGAAAAAACATAGTACTAGGACTGTTAAATTGTAGTAAACATTGCGTTAAATATAGATTTTAATCAAGTTGACTACATACATGTACTTATTAAAATGACATTGTTCTTTTTTTAGCTCACCTCAACAAAGTTGGGGAAGCTTATGTAATACCCTCGGCGTCCCAGGTTAAAGTTTTTGGAGCAGATTTCTTTTCAGGTACTTTTATGCCCTATATCAATCAGAGATGCATGAAGGATGCTTCTAGTGTTTCATTGTACCAATCAAGGTTTCAGATGCTGCAATTTCAGCTAAAGAATGACCAGGTTATTGTTTCTGGAGCAGGTTAAAGGTTTTGGAGCAGATTAAAGTCTCATTTCCAAGTAACTATAAGCCCTATGTTGACCAAACGTGCTTGGATGATACATCTAAGGATGCACACTACTGGACTTGCTTCGGATGCTGGATCTGACCTACATTTTCTGGATGAGTAACCTGATTAAAGTTCTGGGAGCAGGTCTCATTTCCAAGTAGATATAAGCCCTATATTCACCAAACTTGCTTGGATGATACACCTAAGAATGCACACTACCAGGCCTGCTTTGGATGCTAAATCTGACCTACATTTTCCAGATGAGTGACCTGGTTAAAGTTTGGAGCAGATCTTATTTCCAAGTTACTACAATCCCTATATTGACCAAACTTGCATAAATGTTGCATCTAGGGATGCACTCTACTAGATTATTTGTTTAGTGTGGGACTTTGCCTTACTTAAACATTTGTTGAGGTGAGCTCTGTAATCTCTGATTACCTGTTTTTTCTTATGGCAACATGCATTTTGTCATTCACAATTCATTAAAATTTCTTCCCAAATTGTTTTTGAACATTATACACTACATAATCTCTAATTTGTTCAATAAAGTGTGTGATACTCTTTCTTTTCTTTTTTTTTAAAAAGATCTTATATACATTATGCTCCGCTCTCTCTTTCTCTCTTTGGGTGAATTTTTATTGTTCGAAGTTGAGATTTCATAACTTTTACTGTGTTCACTAAAATTGAACACTTGAATATGAAATGTTCTACATTTAACCTGTTTCTATTGCATAGTTGAACAAAAGATTTTTTTGTTTTCAATGAATTAACTCATAGGAGACTGGTCTTTACGATGAGATTGTATAAACCAAGGCCCTAGCTGTTTTGCAGTAGATGTTGACATGAAAAATTTCCCTCATTGCTCAGTGGACATACATGCAGAGTACAGGCTGCGATTCTGGACTGTCCATGGCATATTTCTAAATTTGCAGCCTTCCATCAGCCATTGATGGCATCCATATTTATTTTGCAAAAATTGCTACTTCTGTGTTCTAAATTCATCAAAATCTGACACATTTCGATTTGAGCTGCTAATTTCATTACTTAAAAGAAGAAAATGAAATACAATGTAATGTATATTTATAGACATCTGAGTCACCAAAGACAAAAACATTCATGTTTTTTTTTTTTTCATTATTATATTTCACTGATAATATATACATATTTATGAACAGTCTATTTAAAATCCCTTCTCCTTTAGGAACTCCACAACTTCTCCTACATAATCTCCCCTGACAAGTACTTTGTTGTTGATTTCATTGATATGAAGATAATGTTTCTTGGATGGATGTTTCATTGACAGAAATTTCTTTAAATCTTCAGAAAATAGCTGAAAAAAAAAAGTTAAAATGTGCTTGAATTCTAATATTTCTTAAAAGATTTTAATGAATCAGTGCATCTAAAAACTAGCACAAACTACATGAAGTAAAATATACATGTAATTTCTTTGCAGAAAAGAATAGAAGTTTGTTTATAGAAGGTTTTGTAGAATGATATTTTACCTGTAAGTCTCCATCAACTTTTAAAATTTTTGTCCGTTCAAGTGGTCCTTTTTTTATAAGATAAACAGGCATATTGTGATGTGGAGTTCTGTGAACAAAGTATGGATGCTTTTTGGCTTCTTCTACAAAGAAGATTTATTCTTTAGTCTTTAGATTTATGAAAAAGAGCAATAAGATATCAAGTGATGTCAATTGATGAGACTCAAAATTTTAAAATATATTTTCCAAGCCTCAAAAATCACATAGGTGCATGTTCTTACTCGGTATAGTTAGTTTTATTTACTGTCAACCCTTGTAAATCCAGTGTCAATTGTCTGAATGAAGTGTCTGGATTTTTTGAAACACGTTTTTTAAAAAGGATAGATAAAGATCTAAATTCTGTTTCCCACAAAATTCTTCCAGAAGATGAAGTGACCATATTAATATTGGCATCTTGATTACAGAGGCTCAACTTTATATTTCATATTTTTCTATGATTTCAACAAATCTGAATATAAAGTTAAAAATTTCTCAGATTTGAAGATGATAAAGATCTTTCAATACCAAAACCACACACAAATATATTGGTAAGATGAAATTTGGTACAGAACTTACATGTACCACAAAAGAAAATACATGTACAGTACATGCAACAGTGACATTTAAATTTTTAGCAGTCCATGGATTAGGCTTCATTCCTTTCTATTTTGAGACAAAAAAATAAACTCTGATAACTGCAGGGTAGAGGGAGGAAAAATTTGATTAAATCAATGTAGAAAAATAACCAACCTGTCTGTGGGAACCATCCAGAGGGTGTGGGGTATGCTGCATGCTGGGGAGGCTCTGGTATCAATTTATTGTGTAGTAATTTTTCTACGTATTTAAACTCCTCTGTAGATTCTTCATACTCTACATTTTGTTGAGTTGAACTAGTGTTCTCTTGGGTGCAATATCTTGCCTGTAAAGAAATATTCTTTTAAAATTTGAATGCAGCATTGCACATTTCTATCTATGTCAGATTTTTTTAAATACCATACTAATTAAAACTGATATTTAGGGAATTTCCAAGACAATATACAGATACATCAGTCAAAGTCTAAAATGCTTGGATAAACAGTCACATACTAGAACCAGATATTAGTTAAGCCAAGTCAAATTACAGTTTTTCTGGTTTCCCAAACAACCCCCTTTATTTAACACGCACCTCCACACATCCCTTATTTCACTTTCCCCAAAAATAATTTATAACTTTCCTTCAACCAGGCCTTCAAATATTTCTAGAAAATTAACTTTTAGTTTAGTTTTTGAACACTGGCCCTACCCCAACCAAACTTGCATGGATGTTGCATCTATAGATTCATGCTACCAGATTTGCTTCAGATGCTGGGTCTGACCTATGTTTCCAAATGAGTGAACAGATTAAAGCTATGTAGCATGTGCTATCCCAAGTAACTATATGCCCTATCTAGATCAAACCTGCATGGGTGATGTATCTAAGGGTTCACATTACTCTACTTGCTTCAGATGCTGGATCTGACCTACATTTTCAAGTTGAATGAACAGGTTAAGGTTTTTGGAGTAGGTCTATTCCCAAGTAATGTTTAACTGTTTTAAACCACATGCTGACTTAACAAGCATGGAGGATATAACTTTGTACCACCAGACTTGCCTCGGATGCTGGATCTTGTCTAAATTTTTTAGATGATTCAACAGGATAAAGTTTTTAGAGAAGATCTTTTCCGAAGCAGCCTTCAAGCCATATTGTGATTAAACTTACAAGGATGATGCATCAAAGGATGCACATTACCAAACATGCTTTGGATCAGGGACCTATATACTAAGTATATACTTAGTATATAGGTCCCTGTTTTGGATGCTGGATCTTACCTGCATTTTCCTTTAGAGTGATCAGTTTGAGTTTTTTAAACATATCTATGTCAGCGTAACTAAAAGTCTTCCTTAAACTAACTTGTATAGAAGGACTCACACTACCAGACCTGCTTTGAATGCTGGATTTGACCTTGATTGATGATATGGTAGTGTTCATAGTAGCTAGGTACATACCCAAGTTACTGTAAGTCTTACCCAGACTTTGGTATAAAGTCTATACGGCTATAGCAAATGATGCAGAGCCGTGCCTTCTGTAGGCTTGATCATCCTAGGCTACGTATTTCTGTGGACAGTCAAGTAAATGATTTATTATACCTAAGACCATACTGCTTTAAAAGCTTTCACAAAAATATACATCAAATACGTTGATATAAGAATTTGTCCGTTTTGTTTAAGAATGATAAAAAGAATTAAAATTCATTTACATTCTGATTAAAAAATCTTTTTCGTATATTTTGTAGAAAAACTCTCTGTTTGATAAATGACAATCCTGGGACAATCTTTCTCATGGGCGCAGCCATTTTTATTGTTGAAGTCCCGTGCAATCTCGCAATTACGACATTTCGAAAAAAAAATTACATGGAACAAAAAGAAATGAGATTAATTTTATTAAAATAGTAGAAATGATATAACGTTAGAAGAATAAGTATTTTGCTAGTTTTTTTTACGGAGGTTAATCAAATTAAGAAATATACCGCACCCCTTTTTGGCCCCAAGGTCAAAGTATTATAAGATGGCGGCTTTTCTGGGTCTCGGAAAGACAATGGTGTGATAATGGTAAAGCTGCTACAAAACAGGCGATTGACGCCATGATTTAAGCATTTAGGGAGAAAATCGTATTTAAAATGTGTTTAATTCATTTGGAATTTTATTCTTAGCGTAAGTTGATGGCTAAATTTGGGGTAGTTTTGACTTTCTTATACCTAGCACTTGCTGGATTGGTCTACCCCAAACTTCGCAAAGCACCATCAGTCTTGATGTTTCTTTTCAATGGACATCGTTTAGAGTTAAGACCATGTGCTAATGCCTAGTGCATTTTTGTCACTTTCATCTTCGATGGCATCGAGAAGAACAAATGTATACAACACAAAAGGTAGCAATGAGAAATATTGGACAGCAATATTTGATTATGAAGCCAAAAGAGAGGATGAGTTGACGCTTAGGAAAGGTTGTCAGGTGGAGGTCCTGTCCTACGACTCTCACATCTCTGGAGATGAGGGGTGGTGGACTGGTCGTGTCGGCAACAGTGTCGGCATTTTCCCCAGTAACTTTGTCACCAACAACCTCAATTTTAGCTTTCCTGAGGAAAAAATTATCCCAGATCGACCATTTGAAATTGACTTTAATGAACTACAATTGGAAGAAGTGATTGGCATTGGAGGGTTTGGTAAAGTTTATAGAGGTTTATGGAAAAGAGAAGAGGTTGCTGTCAAAGCAGCCAGACACGACCCTGATGAACCCGTTAGTGCAACCATTGAAAGTGTTAGACAAGAAGCCAAAGTGTTTTGGTTGTTAAATCATGTTAATATTGCTTCTTTAAAAGGAGTGTGCTTGAAAGAACCCAATTTATGTCTTGTGATAGAATATGCTGCTGGTGGATCTTTAAATCGTGTTTTATGTGGTCGGAGAATTCCTCCAGAAATATTGGTGCAGTGGGCCATTCAGATAGCAAGGGGTATGCACTATCTCCACGAAGAATCTCCAATACCTTTGGTGCATCGCGATCTGAAGTCAAGCAATAGTAAGTTTAATTCAGTGCCAGAAATGCAAGTTCTCTATATATTATATTTAAACCATACAAGTTAATATGCTTTGTCAGTTGCAAAAGGTGTAACAGGTCATAACCATATAACATGTATAAGTCATGTGTACAAGATAAAACAGTTAAGTTATCTTTATGCAAAAACACATACTCCAAGACAGTTATCATTTCAGTGTTTATTAATATGAAAAAACAGATCAAGTGATAATTAAAATGTGAAACTACATGTTAATTGTTTATTGATACTATACATCACATCCAGTATACTGGATTTTGAATGGTAATTATTTAAGGACACCTACTGATAAAGTGTAATGATTTTAATGATTTAAAGACTAACTTGAAGCTGAGTTTAAGCTATGTCTTACAAAGTGCATTCAGTACACTTGCAATACACCAAATCTGGGCAAATCATAGACTTAAGTTTTCATTTGTCATATATATTCACTTGAAAAGAATACGTGCATTGAATTTTCTAGCCTACACTGAATGCTTCATGTGTAATACATGTGAATCATTTACCATGTTTACAGACTAGGAAGTAGCAGACCAAAGTTTAATGAATCAGTAGTGAAAGTTTTAATTTGTCATTCAGATATCTCTGTCATTTAATTTTTTTAAAAAATGGTCGGTCATACCTGAAGTCTTTTTTGCTACTGCTGAGGTTTTACCCATTTAAAACAATTATTGTAAGGCCAAAGATAAAATATGTTTGTTGATGTTTATCCAACTGACCCTAATTTTATGCACCGACCCAAATATTTTTTTGTTGTTGTAAAATTTGGAAATTGGATGTCTGTATGTTTTCCTTCAAACTTAATAGCTTATAGGTCAAATAGTCATTTTTTAGTTGCTGTTTTTAGAGCTGTTAGGTAGAGTGTGTAAAAAAATATTATGCCTACAAGAAGAGAGCTACAAATTGTCTTTAAAAATTTGTATTACAAAGTTATGCCTAACTGAAAAAAAGGAATAAAAAATAAAAGCAAAATCCTAATTACTGGCCCTATTTCTTTAGCATGTAAACAAACACACTTTTTTATTCTTAGGCCTAATTGATTGATTGATGAGATCTTTGTACATTTGTTTTATTTCTGGAAACTTCTGCAATGCATGACATGGTCAGAATGTAACAGAATGTAACAGATGCAGACTGTTGCACATCATGACATCAGCAACATACTCAAAATGAATGACAAGAGAGGCTAAAGATGTGCCAAGGTTAATAAATGAAAAAAAAAATAGATTTAATTTGTCATGAATACATGAACTCAGTAGTCAGTACGTATCTATCATATTCATGTACTTTGTAAAGCATTTAAAAAAGACCATGTAGATAAGGGAAAAAATAATATACAGCTTCTGAACATCAGTTATTAAATTTTTAGTACATTATTTCAAAGTTAACCAATTAATTTCAACACGAATTTCCTATTTCCCCCACTCTCTCTGCTTTCTGTTTTAAGGGGGGGAAAAATATGTACAAATAATTCATCATAAAGTTGCCTTTGAAATTTAAGTTGGATTTCTTGGGAATTTTTCCAATTTTTCTCCTGTTTTGTACAGAGCAGGTGTGCATGTTTAACTGAACTCTGATCATTTCAGAGTGGCAAACAACCATTTAACAAGCTAAGTTTAAGAATGTTATCACCCACCATGTAAAAACGAGGAGCTCTTTTCAATGGGATGTATTTGTGTTTTCTACATACAATAAGCTATCTCTACATTTAGATATAGCTATTTGCATTAGGGTGTCACAATCTTAGACTCGGAGATCCTTTTACATGTTAAGCATGTTCAGTTAATTTGCAAAACCTACCAGTAATTATGGGAGAGGCAGGAATAGTTGATTAAATGAAGAGTATTACCAAAGCTCTCCCCCAAATATTTATATGGTACATGTTTTTGTAAAATTATGCAGTTTGGCTATTACTTGTTGGGTATTCATTGGTTTCAAGTAGAGAACTATAGGCTCTAGTAGCAAATGGAAACAAAGAATTAATCATTGATTTAATTTAGACATTACTAAAGTCTATATAGTTTCCTTACCTTACCCCTTGTTATGGAAGATGGTTACATATCAAGTACCGGTAAATGCTAATTCTTTGACATATATATATATATTGACACATATTTTTGTGTAACACTGGTTTGATATAGCAACAACTAATTTGAACAATTACCAACCCAGAAAGTCTTGCTTCAGGACAATAAAGCACTCTCCTACCATCTTATGTTGAACTCTGTGGGTGTGTTTTTAATTTTGGTTCCATACAGAGGTGAAAACGTATAAATACCCCCAGGCTGTGGCATTACCCCTACAAAAGTTTTCTTGGTGAGAACAAATGACATGGTGTTATCAAGTCTGAAACTTCCTATAATTTTTTTGCATGGGAGCAAAGTGATTCTTCAGTGAAGTTCAACGTTTGATTGTGTGTTAAATATTTATAATGTAAACAACTAGAGTAAGACATTCAGTTTTTTGCTCATAAATTAATACAAGATACTGTACTAAGAAATATTTATGAATGACAAGAAATAGAGTCGTAAATACCACATCATGCAGGCAAGTGAATTTTTTAATAAATTGAAGAATGTTAGATTTTGCATGCAGGTACATGCATGTTTGTACACAAACATTGATAAATGCATACTCCAGCAAAAATAATTTTATAACCTCTTTTTCATGTAAACCCGCAAAGAGAATTGAAAGTCTGCCAAGAAAAAAATTATGTTTTGAAGATCGGATGTGAGTTTACTAGATTTCTAGCCTTCCTTTATCACTTGGTGAATTCGGGCTGCCAAGAGTTCAAGAAATGACTACACAATTGTTTTAATGAGGCTTTTTAATTAAACTTATAAATCGAGTGCATTTTACATAGATATGTTTTAGTATTGATGATTTAGAGCCCATCATTTTATATTTCTAATTTTAAAAATAATGTATTACATGTACTTCTTAAATGTTGTATGAAATCTGATGATGTTGGGCATGGACTGGTTAACATTTACTTAGAAATGTTTTTTTTTTAAAAAACATTAATGATTATGATATAATGTACTTAATGCTTAAATTTAGCAGTGTATATCTAACATTATGTACTTTACATTTCTCCGTTCATGATGTGCATATAATCTTGAAGTTGGTTGAGTTTAATTGTGCTGGTACATTAATTAAATGCATAATCTAAAGCAACTGCTGCAAACGAACAGACTGCAAACTTCCTGCACTTTTACCGTTCATTTAAATAGCTCAGAAAATAAGTAGGTCAGTGTCAGTTTCATAGATCGCCTGTCATTTTCACTGACCCACAATGTACCTGATTCTCAGGCTCAGGTTAATTTACCCTAGTGGTGAAAACAGTAGAAATGCACTCAATAAGTACAGTCAGCTAATTTACATCTTACAATGAATATATAAACGAAGTGTTCCAATCTATTTACTTGTCAGAGAATTGTTATGGTAATAAATCATGAGTTCATTGATACATCTGTCAAAATAGACTGCATATAAATATATAATTAAATTTTGTAGGGTTTGATGTCTAATTTGTTTTCATTGGTCTTTTGAATGAAAATGAGAGGGTTAATCTTCAGTTTTAACATTTGTTCTGTATTTCAAAAAAAAAAAAGTTAAATCATTTTAAATTGTATCATAAATTCTTATCACACCTGTTTTAGTTTTGATTTTTCAGGTATATAATTTTTTGTGGGATTACCAAACATAAATTATTAATAATATTTGTTTGATATCTGCTTCACAGTTTGTAGCATCTGCATTTTAAGTCTGTCATTGCTGTCCAGTTATGATTTTTAAATTTTCTTCACATAAAAGTAAATCAGAATAATTTGTTCTGAGTAAGTCTGTCCTGCAGAACCAAACTTCATCACTTACTGCATTATATCTAAAAGTACAGAAATACCATGGCTTTCAGTTTGAAGGCTTCAAACTAGACCTCTTTCTACTTTGAAATGATCCATCCAATTTAACTTGTGTATTGACACTGCAGCAAATTGAAAGTTTACTTGCAAAAATGACCCTCACTTAGGAAAGGGATCCACCATAATTTGTGATTTTCCATTGTCTGCCATTGATAACTTAATGATGTAACTTTTGGAGCAGATTTAGATGCCATACTCATGTAATCTCTCAAAATAATGACAACTCCCTCATGCTTTTAACAGCAATGACCAAAATTAACTCTATTTATTTCGGTAGACTTTGAAAAACTGTGTCATACTTGATTTCAAGTTGTATATATCTATAACCTGACTTGAAATGGTTTGAAAATGTTCAAACTTTTAAAATGTTAAATATTTTCTTTCAAGCCAATTCAAAGTTTATTTGTGGTCATGAAAATTGAGGTTGAAGCACTCATTTTCAGAGTGGGTGATTTATTATATAGTTATCATTTTCTATCTAATAATGTAAATATAAGATTTAACATTGACCTTTGAAAATTATATATATTAGCTCTTGATCTTTTGGTTGACCTATTTTAATTATTAGACTTGCAAATAAATAAATAAAAAAAGAAGAAGATGTTTTAAATACCCATTAAATTTGACCTTGACCTTTCACCTTCAAATTGGCAAGTGATGCACATTTAGCTTTGTTACAGTTGGCTCCTTATAATGATACTTTTATCATTTTACAAGTAAGGAAATTGTAAAGAGATTTTTTTATACAACTATTACGAAACTTTAGAGAACTTGACCTTAATTTGACCTAAACATTTTTAAATGACTCTTTACTGTAGGGGCTAGGCTATGTTGTCACAAATCTTACAGAGCACTGCTATATGTTTCCAAGTCTTTGTAGTATAAACACAGGGTTTGCACATATAATCAAAGAAGCTGGAAAATATAGATTAACTTCATGTACAATTGAGACACTTACAGGTCTATTGTGACCTTGGTAGTGAAGTAGTAGTTTTTTTTATCCTCTTCACAATAACAAGGAAACTGTGTGTTAAACAATC